ACAGCTCACCCAGGGCAGCCCCCACACCATGAGAGGAACAGTGGAGTTGTCTTTACAAACAAGCTGTGGGTCTGCTGGTAGATAAACAATGAAAGAAACAATGGGAAGGATTGCACCGATTGATGAATGGAAAAAGATATTTGCCTTTACAAATAAACTGCAGGTTTGCTGATAAATGAAATTGGATATTGAAAGATGAAAGAAACAACGGGGAAGAAAAGCCCCTAAATTCCATAAAAATTAAAAATCAAAAAGGAGGGTTATATATGAGAGGGAAAACTTCAGTATCAGGTGATTCAGTCTGAAACTCTCAAGTACCTCAGCTAATGGGGAAAAAGGGAAATGTAGCTGGGAAATTGGGATAAAAAGGAGGCTGAGTCCTACAAAAATTAGAGAGACCCCAGGGGAATGCCCCATGGCCTCTCCCTGGATTGGAGTAAAGTAAAAGAACTCCTCTGTGTCCTTTTTGGACATAAACCTCTGGTGTTTGTGGGTTAATTTTCCTGACAACCCCAAACACACAGGCACAGGCAGCAGTGTGGGGTGAGAGCCCCCAAACCCCCCTGGCAGCCCAGGGCAGGCTGTGCCAGGAGGGGACAGGGTTCCATGGGGACATGGCAGCAGTGCCAGCTGCCTCATCAAACACAGCACACCCAGGGGAACGTGCTGGAAATAACCATCCCAGGAGAGCTCCAAATGCTGCTCCACATTTCTGCAGCAATTTGGGAAAATTCGTGCAGGGAGAGAAAGAACCTAAAATCTGGCCCCATTGCACTCCTCATTTTGGGGCAAAAACTCAAAATCCTCTCATCAGATGCTGCACAGAGGTCAAACCCTCTTATCAATAAACCCACCAAGCATAGCATTATGTGCTCATGGAAAAGGAAATAACTCAGCAAGCTCAAGACAAAGGAATTTTGGTCCTGCACTGGTATTTCAGCTCTGTTTACCCAATTGAAAATCACCAAGTTGCCAAGGGCTGCTATAATTCTGCTTTTGAGGGGTTTTACTGATTTTTTATGATGATAGTCAAGATCAGGACAGAATGGAATGGGTGGCCACATAATTCCTGTCAAAGGGTCAATGAGGCTGCCTGCCTTGGAGAGGTATTTATGTGACAGTTTGCAGTGTTTGCACACTGAGGAATGGAAAAATTTCAGCACACAGACCCCCTGTGAGAAACATCGGGCTGTTTTCTGAGCTGTTTCCTCTGTTCACCTCCTACCCCTACACAATTACATTGCAAACATGAAGTTCAGCCACAAAATAAGGTGTAATTAGCACACTACAGCACAGCTACCAAGTTATATTTTACAAATAAGTGGGAATGACAGAAAGTGAAGGAAAAACTCTATTTTCTAGACAAGGCAAATTTTCTTCAGCATGTTCCTAGTGAGGGAGGATGGAGGCATGGGAACCCCTAATGGTTTGGTTTCCTCCGGCTGATCCATAAAAACAACCAGGAACAGGTTTGCTGCTCTCACACACACACAGAGCTTCCTGCAGTGTGGGAAATAGATTTAGAGAAAATTCTTAAAATCTGACAGAAAGCTCACATAGTAGATATTTGTATGTAAACATTGAGATAAGAAATGTTAAACTAGAAATATGATAGAATAAGATAGACATTGTTGAGAGAGAGATGAAACTAAAAAATAAGTTTTAAAAGTGTTCATATAGGTATAAAATATACAAGTATAAATTTTATATATAAAGTATATATATTAAAATATATATACTATATATATAATATATATTATTATAATATAATTATATTATAATTATATTATAATATAATAATAATTATATAATATATAATAATATATATTATTATATATTATATATAATATATAAAATATATAATACATATTTTATATATTATATATAAAATATATAATGATATTATATAATACTTATGTATTACGTATAGTATATATATACTATATATACTATATATTTTTATATATTATATATAAAAATATATAGTAAATATACACTATATACATATAGTGTATATATACTATATTTACATATTAAAAAGTATATATATAAAAAGTATATATATTTAAGTATGAAGTATAGTATAAAATAAGTGTTTAAAATAAGCTTTTAAAATATATATTTTATATATTATATATTTTATATATAATATATCTATTTTATATATTATATAAAATATAACTATATTATATAATATTTATATATTATATATAAAATACATATTATTATACTCTATAATAATATAGTATATTATTATACATACTATATATACACTATACCTATATAGTGTATATAGTATATATAAAAATATACAGTATATAAAAATATATAGTAAAGATTCACTATATACATATAGTGAATATACTATATATGCATATTAAAAAGCATATATAAGCATATTTATTTAAGTATGAAGTATAGTATAAAATAAGTTCTTAAAATAAGTTTTTAAAAATATATATTTTATATATTATATATATTTTAATATATAATTTATATATTTATATTCTAAAACTTTAAATGATAAGTTTTCTATTATGTGATATTACACACTTCTATTTAAATTACACATTCATAATATTAGTTATACTATTTAATTTTGGAAGCTTTCTCCACGGCCTCAGGTTAAATGCAGTGTTCTCTTGGGGGTCAGCGCCTGGCAGCACAGAAAGTCTGAAATTTTCAGTGACCAGGGTTCCAACATTCCAGTTTTCTCAGTGCACAAGCAGCTCCCTGGGGTGAAAGCTCATCTGGTTCTTCCACAAGGCTGCTCTCTCTGGCCAAAGGGGGCTCAGAGCAGTGTTTGAACCAGAAGAATTGAGGGGCAGTGTAATGTGGTGTAAAATTCTGAGGGGCAGGTGTAAAATTCTCTGCCCTAGCTCACACAGCTGTGAGCTCTGGCTAAAATCCAGCCCACTCATCCCATCACAACTCAAGCTGGAGTCCAACTCTGCAAATACAAATGTGGGAGCACACTCAGATGCCAGCAGGTAGGAATGCAGCATTTATCATCCCTGCAGCCTCCAGGCATCCCTCTCACAGCTCCTGCCCAGAGCCCAGCAGAGCAGGGAGTGCAGGGAAGGGACCCCAGGAGCACCAATTCCTGCCCTGGGCACAGCAGGGCTGGGTCAGAGCCCCTGATCAGCACAGACCCCTCCTGGGTGGGAGCAGTGCTGGGAACTCTGCACTGCCCCGGCTCCAGACACATCCAAACACGTGGAAAAACAGGTCCAGCAAAATTTGCTTCAACAGGAAAAACCTGCTTCTGTTTTCCAGGGAACAGCAGTGGCACAGGAGCTTTGGAGGGAGTGAATGCCTCTCAGCAATGCTGGGGAGCAGAGAAGTGACTGTGCTGCCCTTTGCAGAAACACAGGAGTGTACACATTCAACACCCAAAAAACAGAACAGAAAGGAACTGAAATAAAGCACAGCTCTCTGGAGAGGATTCCTCCTCTCCCTCTGGACTTGTATTTAACAGCTGTGAGTGAGGCCAGGGATCTGAACCAATGAGAAAATGCATTTTCAGGAAATTCCCTCTCCTGGCATGAGATTTCCACACGTAGGTTTGGAAACACCTCTCAGTTCCCCATCTCTGGGTCAGAAAAGGGCTCAATCAGGCACTGCAGTAACTGCAGGCACACAGGACAAACTCAGCTGGGTTTGGCCAGAGGAAAGCCCAGAGAGGATCTGACACTACAGAGGTACAAACACCACTCTGCTGAGTGTGGGACTGGTCCCCTTTTTCTTCTCTGTCTGACCAAGAGCTCAGAGGAGCATTCACACAGATGATGCCCCTCACCTGCTTCAAAGAAAGGCTGTTCCCATGCTCAGCAGCTGCCCAAGCACATAGCTGAGCCCTCTGACACAGCTCAGGTGCAGAAGGAGCTGCTGGTCCCTGGGCAGGGCCCTCCAGTGCTGCCTTTCCCCACTGTCCTTACCCTGAGGCTGCTCATCACAGCTGGGGCTCAGAGCCTGCCCTCACCAGCACCTCCAAACTGCTCCCATCAGCACAGGGTGAGCACTGGGGCAAGAATGAGCCCTGCACCAGGCTGGGAGAGCAGGAATTGCAGCTCTGCTCTTGCCCCTCTTCTGCAGCCAGCACTCAGGGCTGCAAGCTGGGCTCCATCCCGAGCACCACCAGCCCTGCAGGGCAGTTTGGAGCCTCACTGCTGGGGGGAAACACTTTCTTCTGGCTCAGAACTCGACACAGGCCCTCAGTGATGCTCCCTGAAAATGTCTGTGGGCAGGACACTGCAGGGAGCTGCTGGAACAGGCACTGCCAGAGCCCAGCAAGGGGAGGTGATGTCCCCAGAACATCACTGATGTCCCCAGAGCATAGATAATGTCCCCAGAGCATAGATGATGCTCCCAGAACACAGCACAAAAGTTTTAGATTTACCCATCTCTGTGAACACTTTTGAGCCTATTATGGAAACTTCTGGGATGCTGCCCTGGAAGAACTCACAACAGGCTTTGAGAATACCTCTCACTTTAGGGTGAGCTGAAAGGGGCTTCTCCCATGGTGTCCTGCAGCAATGTCAATCTGCCCTTACCTCACAGGTCACTGCCCTTTGTAGTGCCCCTGTGCCCCCAAACCATTGCTCCTGACCCCATACTTAAAAAAGGACACTCACTGTTTGCCCTGTCCTTGTCCCTGGGTTCCTTCAGTGTGACTCTACAACAAACCTCACTGGAACTGTACACAGAGACCCTTTCCACCTCTTTTTGCTGACCCAGCTGTGCTGACAGTGTGGATTGAGTCTGTAATTGTCCAAGCAGCTTTCTCAGAAGATGCTCTTGGGAAAGGTAGGAACAAACACCATCCACTGATAGCAGGCTGCTGCCCTTGCCCTCCTCCAGGCTGTGTACCTGCACATGCACAGACACCCCTGATTTGAGGGGTTTGCTGCCTCCAACCCCCAAATTCCACACTAAGAAGCAACTGAGCTCACCACAGCTCCAGTTTCCCACCCTGCTGCCCTCCCCTGTGCCATCCTTACCAGCTTGGTTTTGTCCATGGCCGCCAGCACCGCAGCGTTGAGCGTTTCCAGGGCAGAGAGAACGTTCCTGTATTCCCCCAGGTATGCTGAGAAATAATCTGCAGCAGGACAGAACACCATGGTCAGGCTCCTGAGCACCTCCATCCCTGCCTCCCCTGCTCCTGCTCCCCACACGCAGCCCAGAGCTGCAAGGGTGGGGGATTCACTTCCCTTTCCAGAATCATTCTCCCACTTGGACTGAAAGGAAAAGTCCTTCCCTATTGTCCTGGGTTGTAAGATGTGGTTTGGGGCTGTAGTTTGGCAAATTCTGTCCCCATCTGTCAGAGCTGGGGCAGCTCTCTGCTGTTCCTGGGGCAGTTTTCTTTCTCTCTCCCACAGCCAACCCTCCCTCCAGGAGATCTCTGCTGTCCATGGCCACTGAGTGTCCCTGCAGGGCTGATCCAATCCCAGCATCCCATGGGGAGATGCTCCGCCCAGGGGAGGAGCCAAGCATTCCTACCTGGATCCAATCTGGGCCTGGCACAGCACAGCAGCCTTTGCCCCCTGCATTGCCAGAGGAGCAGCTTTCTGCTGCCCTGCATGGCCAGAGGGAGCCCAGGCCCATCTGCAGCAGCCCTGGAGCTGCAGAGGAAAACTCCCCCCTTGTGCAGGATCCCTGCTGCAGCAGAGCCACAGCTGGCACTGCAGGAGGGCTGAGCCCCCATGGGATGGGGCTGGGACACCCCCCTGACACACAGGGGACAGGGCCTGTGATCACTCTGGCAGTGGAGTTTTGTATTACTGCACTGTTTATTTTATTTTTATTTTTTCCCTAATAAAGAACTGTTATTCCTACTCCCATATATTTGCCTTAGTCCCTTAATTTCAAAATTATAATAATTAAAATCTAAATATTAAAACATTTAAATATTAAAATATAGCTATAATTAAATTATCTAATTAATTATATATAATTAATTATAATTAATTAATAATAGAATTAATTCTAATTTAAAATATTAAAATATGATATTAAACTATAGTAAATAAAATTTATTGTGATATTGAAATTATAATAATAATTTTGAAAATATTATTATTATTTCAAAATTATAATAATTCAGAGGGAAAATGCATTTTCCATTGTAGGGGAAGCTCCTGCCTTCCTTAGCAGACACCTGTCTTTTCAAACCAAGACACTTCTCCCCTGGGATCTAGGGGTCTCACAGGGACCTTGGAGCCACCCAGTCCTGCCCAGTTCAGACATACCCCACCACAAACACCTGGGGAGGGGAAGCTCTCCAGGGCAGGAACATCCCTGACTTACCACACAACTTCTCCGTGTCCACGTTGCTGCAAGAAACACAGAAAAGCTCCTGTTAGATAGTGGGGCTGGTGTGGGGGAAACAGTGAGGGTGAGAAGGGGTTTGGGGGCTTGTCTTGAGCCCTGGTGGATTTTCATGTTCATGTATTTTCTCAACTGAATTAGAAAAAGAAGGAGCTGAACAGGTTCAGAGGCAGCAGCTCAGGAGCCATTCCCAGCCCCTGCAGCACCCAGGGGCTGAAGGAGGAGGAAAATCTGCTCCACCAAATCTCCTGGAGCTGGAGTGTGCTGGGAGAGCACCTGCGACAACAGAGAGGGGTTGGATGGAGGTGCCTGTTGAAGATTGCAATGCAAAATGTTTTCTATTACAATCTGTATGGCAGATTACCTTTGTCAAGTGGGCAGTTTGCCTTATCTCTCTCTTTGAGTGACCACATTCACACCTCCCTCGGGAGGGGACATTGCTGATAACAGCTATTGAATGTCCCTGCCTGGCTGATAAGAACTACAGCATCCCATTGGGAGATGTCAGCCCAGAGGGAGGAGCCAAGCATTCCTACCTGGATATAATCTGGAGATTCTGGAACACCAGCACAGCTTCTCCACGGGATTCCCCAGAGGAACAGCAGCTGCCTCTGCCACTGGATCTTCAGAGGAAGAGACTGCACCTTTCTACAGGATCCCTGCTCCAGCAGAACCAGCCCTGACACTGAAGGAGGGCTGAGCCACAATTCCAATGGGACTGCTGCCAACACCCTGACCCACAGGGTGTCAGGTTGGGTTCTGACTGTGGCAGTGTTGTTCTAGTGTACTGCATTGTTTATTTTATCCTTTTATTTTCTTCCCTAGTGAAGAACTGTTAGTTCCTGCTCCCATATTTTTGCCTGAGAGCCCCTTAATTTAAAATTTATAGCAATTCGGAGGGATGGGGAGGGTTTACATTCTCCATTTCAGGGGAGGCTCCTGCCTTCCTTAGCAGACTACTGTCTTTGCAAACCAAGACAGTGCCCCACATCCCTGGCTGGCCAATTCTGAGCCCTGGAGCTGCTTCTGCAACCCAACCTCTTCCCCCAAAGGTGGGGAGCATCCAGCCAGGGCTCCATCCTTGTTCATCCCTGACCTCAGCTCAGGTCCTCCCCATGGCCAGACCCCCTCCAGCTCCTCCTCCTCCTCCTCCCTCCCTCAGAGCCCAGTGCTGTGGGGCTGTCTGCAGGCTCCCAGGGGCTGGGTGACTTCCCAGCCCTCCAGAGCAGTTGTTTCTGCCCTGAAGGTCATTAAAGCAGGGATCTGGCTCCACAATCCTGGAGGCAGGGCCAGACCCCCACCCTTTGCACTAACAGAGAGCACAATCCCCCCTGGCATCCCTGCAGGGGGCAGGTCCCTCCTGAGGCTGCTAAAGGTACTGCTGGGGTAGAGAAGTGTGGGAATCCACAAAATCAGAGGGTTTGGGGAAAGCTGCAAAAGGCAGGCCTCAGAGACAGCAGAACTGTGATTAGAGCTAAGCAGCAGCCATGAGACAGGTCAGCAGAAAAATTATTTAAAAAGCAGAAAGGCAAAGACAAATAAAACAATGGTCTGTGTATTAACACTTGTCTAGAATAACTCCCTAAGCTACAGAAAAGTTTATCTAGTGAGATATTAGGAAGTTCTAAGCTTAATAATGGAGCTCTGTGCATTGTGTTTTAAGGCTTACAAGCAGGAATTGTATTTGAAATAAGCAGCATTGTTTAACCAAAGGTACCTGTGCTTATGGTGGTTGGATAGAACTACTGTCAGTGTGCTTTTGCTTTGTGTGATTGGTCAAAAAACTTATAAAGTGAGTTGTAACATTATATTCTGGGTCTGCTGCCTGGGATGTGAGCTGGTGGCACCTTCCCATTGTCATAACCATGTAATGAGACTGATGCTGGAAAATCAAATAGCTCAAAGCAGTTCCACAGCAGTCCTGTCCTGTTGGTGATTTGTACAGAGCCCCTGGCTGGTGACAGAGAGGGAGGAGGGAATGCACAAAACCAGCCCCAGGTTTTGGGATGGGTCTGCAGGGGGCTGTAGGAGCTGCTCAGGTGGCCAAAGGCACAAAGTCAGAGCTGCTCTCCATGCCCAGAGCCTGCAGAGACAGAGCCCAGCATGGCATTTATTCAAATCAGCCTCAGCTCCAGGCCTTCTGCTGCCTCAAAATCCCCCAGATGATTACAACCAATTTTAATCCTGATTGGGAAAGTGGAAGAGAGCCCCAAAGAGAGCTTTTCAAGTGGTTTTTAAGTGTTGAAGTGCTGTCACACATGGGGGAAGTGGCAGTACCTGGAGTTTGCCAGGCTCCCAGCACAGGGAATGCTGCAGTGCTGCTGCCCAGGGGTGGGAAACCATCACCCTGTTCCCCCTGACACTGCTGACAGGGCAAAGGGACAAAAACACCCCCATGTAAAATTAGAGAACAGTGTGTGAGCTGTCCAAAATGCCATTTAAGGTGAAATAATTAGGGCAAAAATCTTCCTACAGCTTTTCCTGAGACATCAAAGGCTGTTTGTGTCTCTCCCTTTCTCCTGGGCTCGGCTGAGAGCACTTGAACAGTGGGCAGTGGCTCAAAGCAGGGGAATATTTTGGTGTGAGGGTGGCAGAGCCAGGGCAGGGGGCTGCAGGCTGCTCTGGGACTGCACCTGGAGCTCTGAGCAGCACACAGGGGCAGGAACACTCAGCTCAGCTATTTTAAACACACAGCAGCTGATTCAGGCAGGGCTCTGTGCACTGACCTGGCACTGCAGGCACTTTGCAAAGGGGAGAAAAAAATCCTGTTTCCCTTGAGACTCGATCCAGATAAACCTGCAGAGCCACAGCCCCTCACTGTGCCCAACTCTGCTGATCCCCCCTCTGGGCAGCTCTGCCTGACACAGACACTGGGGTTTGGGGCACCAGGGTGCACTGGAAAAAGGGTTTGCTCCTTGTGAAGTTTTCCCCTTTATTTCTGGCAGCTGCCTGGAGGCTGCAGAGCTGCTGCAGTGCTGCAAGAGCCCTGGCACTGCAGCATGCACAGCACAGCCCCAGAGCTGCAGGGAAACCTGGCTCCCACCTGAGAGAGGGGTAAAAATCACCACAGAGGGCATGTGGACACTTTGTGTGCACATTATCCAGGCATTTGCACTGGTCCCAGTGAGCACCTGGGGCTGCTCCTTGCAGGAGCAAGGAGCCACCAGCCCAACTCACTGCCACCCCAGCTCCAGGAGGTGTGACAAGGAGCTGTCATCAACTCCCACCCTGTGGCTTCCAAGGTTATTAATAACTCTTATATATATCTTTATCTATCTTTTTATATATAAAAATACATATCTTTATATATATCTTTATCTATCTTTTTATATACATATATAAATATAAAAATTATATAGATATATAAATTATATATAAAAATACATATCTTTATCTTTTTATATACAAATAAATATATATAAATTATATAGATATATAGACATATAAATTATATATATAAAAAGATATATATCTTTATATATATTTATCTATCTTTTTATATACATATATAAATATAAATTATATATAGATATATAAATTATATATATATAAATACACATATCTTTATCTATCTTTTTATATATAAATATATATATTAATTATATAGATAGATAAATTATATATATATATAAAGATATATATCTTTATCTCTTGGCTGTTTGCTGCTTAAAAAGAAATGTTAACTAATCAATCACTAAACCACTGAACACTGCACCAATCAACATCTCATGGCACAAATCCTCCCTGTGGGAGCTGCCCAGGGGAGGATCTGCAGCCTGTTCCACCAGCAGCCCTGCAGGGGAACCTCTGCCATGTCCCAGAGGCTGCAGCAGCCCCCAGGTACAGGCAGGGGCAGGACAGAGCACAGCAGGCAAACCCTGGGGCTATTCTGAGGCTGCCAGAACTGATTCACACCAAAGCCGGGGTGGAGCTCACCCCCAGAATGTGCACACCAAATGCTGACCCACTTTGCAGGGCTGCCAGGGCAGCAGGCTTTCCTCCCTGCCGTTCCCACTCCAGGAGAAGAGCCATCCTCTGCCTCCAAAGCACTCATCCTGAGACTCTCCACATCTCCCAGAGCTGTATTTTGACTGTGCTCAAACCACTGATTAACTGTAATTAAGCCTGAACTGATGATGGAGGAGCTTGTCATCATTATGCTGTTGGGATTTTGTCAGAATGTGCCCGGAATTTATGCAAGAAAACAGCAATCAGCTGCAGAAAAGCAGATGGGGTTTTTTGTTTATTTTTATCATTTATCATGTTGGGAACCTCCACTGCCATCACAGATCTGCTTTCCAAACCCTTTTTTGTGTGACACAGAGTGTTTCAGTCACTCTCCATCATCTGGGGCTGGCAGATGCTGCAGAGTCTCTGAGTGAAGAGAGAAGAGGGAATCCACTCAAATCCCTTTTTCCACACAATCAGAGGCTTGAGGTGATTTCCACCAAGAGATTTTCAGAGGCACCAGGTCAGCGCTGCCATCCCTTGTGGCTCCAGGTCAAAGGCTCTGAGCAATCTGCACCCAATTCCGGAACACCCTCATGCAAAGATGCATTTTCCAGACCTTATTTTTCTAAATTTACCCAACAGGTGCAAGACAGAAGGACAGGTAAAATCCAAACATCACAGCCCTGGGCAGGTTTCACAGGGCAGGCATTGAACCCCTGCAATTCTGGATGGAGCTAAGGAGCTCTCATACCTCCAAAAACATCAGTCTCTCCTCACCCAGACATTTCAGAGGATGAAAATGCTCTTCTCCAGGAAGATGAACCTCACTGTGCCACTGCCAGAGCTGGTGAGGAGCTCTGCACCAGCCACACAAAGCCATGGACCTGCTCTTGTACCAGCTGCCATCCAGAGCTGAATTTGGCTTCAACATAAACTTTCAAATGTCACAGAATTAAAGTGAGGGGATATTTTATACCAAAATGGAACCATTTTCTGAAATGCAGAACAAAACCAGCTTGGTGTGGAGATGTAGAATGTGAAGTGACCCCAGCAGTGGTGTGTGATGCACAGGCCCCAGTGTCCCACCTGAGAGCCAGAGGGGTGGGAGGTGGACAGAGGACAGCATGGGGCTCTCTGGAAGGACAACAAGAAATGTGAGAGAGCTCTGAAATATTCATATTCCCTGCAGCTGAAGGTCCCAGGGGTGGGTGAGGGTCAGGAAGGGTCTGGACATGGACATCTCTGCTACTGCCCCTCCTCAGGTCAGCCTGGCAGGGATGAGGAAACACCAATTCCAGCCTGGACATGACAAACACAGCACCAAACCCACCCGCTGGATGGAGGGTGAAACTTTCCTATTATCACTAAAGCTTCAGGACACAAAATCAGCACACCAGATCTGCTTGCAGAGCTTGGAGCTGCTCCCCAGCTTTGTAGTACTCTTCAGTCTGGCAGCAAATTTTGGCCAGCTCTCTGAAATGTTAAGTTCCTGACAGTGCAAGGGACAAGGCCAGGGGAGAAGGGCTGTCCAAGCCACCATGGGGACAGCAGGGCACCAGCACAGCCCTCATACAACACCAAATCCTGCACACCCCAAACCCCATGCTCCCTACATTTGCAGGAATTTGCAAACAGCTCCATCTGAGGGTCCCTTCTGCTCTTGGTGGCAGGAAGAGAACAGGGACCCAAGGCTCACACCCTGCTAACAGGTGTCACCAGCTCAGTGCTGTCACTGCTGCAGCCACAGCTGTGGGCAGCCCAGCCCAGCCAGGCCTCCCCAGCTGCTCCAGGCAGATGGAACAAACCCCACCTGAAGGCAGGAGACCTTCCCTGCTCGTTTTGAGCTGGGTTAAAGCTCCCAGCTTCACAGAATCACAGAATGACCATGTTGGAAGAGACCTTCAAGATCATCAAGTCCAACACAGCCCCAGCTAAACCCTGGCACCCAGTGCCACATCCAGGCTTTGTTAAACACACCAGGGATGGGGACTGCACCACCTTCCTGGGCAGCCATTCCAGAACTTTATCACTCTTTCTGTAAAAACTTCTCCCTAATATCCAATCTGTATTTCCCTTGGCCCAGCTTTTGCTGCACCCTGTGTTTTCCAGGGCTGCTGTGACTCTGAGATCACCCCAAAATGGAGCAAGAGGAAAGGAGCATTTCCAGAGGAAAGGGAACTCTCCCTGCAGCTCCCTGGGATCACAGCCCAGAGACAGAGAGGCTTTCAGAGATGTTTTCCTGCTGCCCACACCCACAAGTCCAACCAGCAGCTCCAAGGAAAGCAGCACAAGGCTTTGTGCAGTGGGAGCCAAACCCAGCCCCACCAGCACTGGGAGTTCACCATTGTGACACTGGGTGTCTGCTGTTGGTGGCATTTGGTGGCTGTTGGCATCTCAGTGTGACAAGGGCCCTCTGTGCCACTGCCCTGGGACAGCGTGTGCAGCTCAGGCTGCCCCAGATTTCCTCACCCTGGCAGGACCTGTGCCCTGGTCGGGTGTCAGAGGTGCTGGGATGCCAAAGCTGCCCCCAGACTGAGAGGAATCCACAGCCCCTTGTCCCCCAGCAGCACCCTAGTGTGTGGACAGACCCCAGTCTTGCAACCCAGCAGCACCCAGTTCCTCCCAGTGCCAGGACAGAGTCACCCACAGCACCCAGCTGGGCATAGAGACCCCAGTGAGGCCAAAAATACCACAAAACTGGGATGAGAATCCCAGCTGAGCCCAGCAGAGCCCTCTGGATAGCACCACTCAGGAGGAGACCAGAGCTAAACACAATTCCTTCTCCTGATCTGTGGGGCTTTCTTTTTTTTAAAAGTAGCTGTCCTAAATTCACTGTTAGGAGACCAGACCTAAGCTCAATTCCTTCTCCTGATCTGTGGGGCTTTTTTTGACAAGTAGCTGCCCTAAATTCCCTGTTACACGCACCAAGCCCACTTGTGGAAAGCAGCTCTTACATAAGTGCCAAGCGGCTCCTGAGTCAGCAGGGGCAGAGTCTGTGACTTTGTGTGTCCCCACAGCAGCACAGGCTCCTGCAGGCACACAGGGCTGCCTATTCCTGGAGCACATTTCCCAAACCACAAAAGTGGCATTTTCAATGCTTGCTCGCCTTCTAAAGTTGCAGGAAATCCAATGGCTGCTCTTAAAATGGTCTGGCTGCTCTCAGCACTGGTTTTCAGTGGCTCTGTGGCAAGAGGTGGGTTTGTCTCACCCTGATTATTTATCACACCCGCCTCCCAAGCTCCTCCACCTCCAGGCAGGCAGTTTTAGCTTCTCCTGCATCTCCTCAGTGCCACCACCACGGTACTCACTCTGAGTGACGCCTGTCAATGCCACTGAACAACTCCCACAGCTCCTCCGAGCTCAGGATGCCATCGGAGAAATAGTTCTTGAACTCCTCAAATGACAGCTTCCCATCATCTGCATTCAAAGGAAAGGGAAGAATAATTATATATCTGTAGAAAGCAGCATCCCAGCCCTGTGTGGGATAGGGCTGGGCGTGTTCTGCATGATAATTCCAGCACAAATCTCCCTCAGAGCCTGGCCCACCAGCCCAGCAAAAACATGGGGTGCTGCTGAAGTGCAGGTGGGAATTTCAGCCCTTCCCTAAAGGAATGGTGTTCTCAGAAAGGCACACAGACTGTCCAAGAACAGCACACTGAGGGCAGCATCAGATTTCCATGGAAAGAAAGTGCTCTCCATGGACTCAGGAGGTTTTTCCTTCCCCTCTGTGGAGGATTTCAGCTCCTGGGCTGCATTGTGATCTGCAATAAAAGCATCTCCTGAGCTACCATGAAGGAAAAGAGCCAAGAGAGTGTGGGAAGGCTCAGGGATATCCCTTGTGATTTTGGACCTCTTGGTTTATGGGTGCTGAAGATTAGATTTGCTTGGGGGCTCATTAGCAGGGGCAGGAGTTGAACCATCATTTTTGGGGTATGGGCCCGGTAGCTTGTTTAGCTGACCCTACAAGGAAGTAATATAAAGGAAGTATGGAGGGCTTTGATTCCTCTAGTGTAGGTTCGATTCCTGTTTTGGTAAGGAATTAAAAACTGGGTGGCAGAGCCTAACTCCCAAATGCCAGGGTCTCCAGGGGCACCCAGAAACAGGATCACCCAACCAAGAGGGTGAAACTTTCCCATCATCACTAAAGCTTCAGGACACAAAAGCAGCACACCAGATCTGCTTGGAGAGCTTTAGTGAAGCTCTCCAAGCAGCAAATTTTGGCCAGCTCTCTGAAATGTTAAGTTCCTGACAGTGCAAGGGACAAGGCCAGGGGAGAGGGGCTGTCCAAGCCACCACGGGGACAGCAGGGCAGCAGCACAGCCTTCAAACAACACCAAATCCTGCACTCCCCAAACCCCATGTTCCCTACATTGAAAATTCCTGCAAAACAACTCTGTCTGAGGGTCCCTTCTGCTCTGTAAAACCCTGGACTGAGCACAGAGACAGAACCAACCCTGTGAGGGACCGAGCAGACCCTGACAGCCCCTGGGCAGGAGAAGGGCTTGGCAGGGGCTGTGTCCTGAGCCCATTCCCAGCCCCTGGGCAGGGATCCAGGTGAAGCAGAAAAGCATTTTCCACCCTCCCTCTCGCAGGCAAAGCTCCCAGTGGGAAGGAGCCAGGCAGGGAGGGGGAGGCAGCAGCAGGAACAAGGCACTCACCGTTCTTGTCGGCCCGCCGGAAAATCTGCAAGACAAAACACAACAGGAGAGAAGGGCAGCTGAGCAGTGAGCCAGGCAGCACCCAGCACCACGGAAAATCACCCCAGGAGCTCAGGGAGAAGCCCCAGCTGCTGGGACTGCACAGGCTGCCCTGGGAAATCCCCTTTGCCAATGATTAAACCCATTTCTTGCCCTTAATGCACAGAGCCCTTGGCTGGGTGAGCCCAGCACTCAGAGCAAACACCTTTAGAGAACACACAGGCAAAGCAGAAAGGACTTTGCTGCTTCCTTGTGATGGCAACTGTTTAATTTTTCAGTCCATTTAAAGGAAAGAACATTAGGAACAAACCCAGTCTGTAAGGAAGCACTTTGTGCATCTCCAACACTCCAGAACCTGCATCAAGGAGCAGCTCCTGCCCTGAGCTTTGTAAGCAGCCCTCAGCACAGCCCTTCCCACAGCTCCTCGGCATGCACACTCACTGTAATTAATCATTAATGCATTAATTAATCTGGAACTGCTTCTGGCACAGGGCACAGCTGGAGAGCTGCTCCAGTTCAGGGTCTCAGCACAGATTCCCAACCATGCCCCAGGAGAGAGCTGGGGCTGCTCAGCCCTGCTGGGATCTGATTCACCAGGAGTTAGTGGGGCTGACTCCAGTGAGGAGCAGCATCACTTCTGAACCTGGCAATGTTTTCCCAGAGCAAAATGTACAAGGTTTTGTCCAGCACATCCTAATGGAGGCAATAACAGAAAATTGTCAATGTGGAAGCTGTCCTTTATATCATCCTTGTGGCTTGTGGCTGCATTTCTCTTCACAGAGAAAAGCAAGGTACAACTTCCCAAGGATATTTCTGGGAATCACAGAGAGAAACCTCAGAGAACAATAAGAACAATTCTTATCTCATTTACTGCTCCTCTTGTTGTTCACAAGTGGAATGCATTGTGGAAGATTGTTTACCTGAAGGGAATTGATAATTGGATTCTGCTGTGAGTGTTTTGATTCACTGACCAATTGAATCCAGGTGTGTGTGTCAGGACTGTCACTGACAGCCATGAGATTCTGGGCAGTGGAGTTGAGTGCTTGTGCAGATTCAGTTCTATAATATAGAATAATATAGTATAATAAAATGATTAATTAATTAGCCTATATATAATAAAATAATAATTAGCCTTTTGAATAGAGTCCTCCTTATTATTCCTCCCTTTGTCAGGGTTGCCTTGATTTACTATACTGGCTGATGAAGAAATCTGCAGGTCTGAAGAAAGATTAGGAATGAAAAAAGGCCAGAAAAGGAGACAGAACTTTTCTATTCTTGTCCCCAGGCCAGCCCTGGAGCAGCCCCAGTGCCTGTGCAGGCAGAGGCACCACTGCTCCTCCTGCACCACCTACCACCAGCTCTGTGTCCCGAGGCCCTGGCATCCCCCTGAGAAACTGAAGCAAAGGAGGAGCTGCCAGGAAAATCCCCCAAGGGTCTGGCTTGCAGCTGGGGTGAGGCTTTTCTAGGGCTGGAGCTCCCTGGTTCCTTCCCTGGGAATCAGGAGCAGGAGCAGCTCCTTGGAGGATGCTCCTGTGAGCACAGCGAGCTCCTCCTGCCCCAAGCTGAGAAGCTGGGGCTGCCTTGGGCCGGGCAGCATCAGGGAACCATCCCCAGGATCCCAGCTGGCCAGGAATGAGGGAGAGCACTCCCTGAGCACCACACAGCACACACTGAGCTGAGATGGGAACCTACAGCTCCCTAACAGTGGTGAATTCTCTGGATTTTAGAGCAAAGCTTTCTCCAGGCTAATGGGTTCCTTATGGGGTCTCATGGCTGCAGGGGCAGCACCCGTGGTACTGTATTTACAGTGTTTATTGTATTACAATTTTAAATTTGTATTTATTGTATTCCTGCCCCAAAAAAGGCAGGAATGATGAATCTGACTGCATGTTCCCAGAAGGCTCATTTATTACTTTATGATACTAAATTATATTAAAGAATACAGAAAGGATACTTATTGAATGCTAAAAAGATAATAATGAAAACTGGTGACTCTCTCCAGAGTCCTGACACAGCTTGGCCCTGATTGGCCAAAGAGTGAAAACAACTCCCAGCAGAATGCAATGGAACAATCACCTGTGGGTAAACAATCTCCAAACACATTGCACATGTGAGCACAACACAGGAGAAGCAAATGAGATAAGAATTGTTTTCCTTTTCTCTGAGGCTTCTCAGCTTCCCAGGAGAAAAACCCTGGGCATGAAGGGATTTTTGCAGAGAATGTGAATGCCACACACATGGGTCCCATCCTGCCATGGACTCTCCATCAAGGGAGAAGCTTCATCCTGCAGAGCTGTGTGTCATCAGAGGGACACATGGCTCGTGTGGCTCCAGGTGTCCCAGAGGCCACCCAGCTCATCCCAGAGACAGTCAAGTGTCACCCAGGCACTCCGAGCAAGGGCAAACATTTCCCTCTCACAGGCTGGCCTTGCTCAGCAGGGCTTATCTGTGGGCTCAGAGGCAGAACTCAGCTTCAGGGGAGATTAGAGACCTGAGCTGTGGTGGTGTTCACAGGGGTCCCAGGACCAGGGAAGAGATGAGACTCTTGAATTTTATGTTTCAGAAGGCTGATTTATTATTTTATGATACATATTATATTAAAACTATACTAAAAGAATAGAAGAAAGGATTTCATCAGAAGGCTTGCCAGGGAAGCAGAGAGAATGAAATGATAACAAAATCCTGTGACTGACTGGAGATGAGACAGTCCGGACAGCTGGACTGTCTGGATTGGCCATTAAGATTGGCCATTAATTAGAAACAACCACATGAGACCAATCACAGATGCACCTGTTGCATTCTACATATAACCATTGTTTACATTTTGTTCCTGAGGCCTCTCAGCTTCTCAAGAGAAAAATCCTAGCAAAGGAATTTTTCAGAAAATATCATAATTACACTGAGGAGGTCTCTGATCTGGGGTGAGCCCATCCTGAATTCAGCAGGAGCCTCAGCACACAGAGTGGATGCCTGTTCCTCACTCACAAGGCTCAGTGAGTTACATGAGCCAGCGCACACCTGGCAGCTGCCTGGAGCTCCAAACAGACATGGCACAGGCAGGAGCTGTGAGAGCCTGCGGGGCAAGGCCATGTCTGCTGCAGGGCTCTGGTTGAGGTGTGATGTCCGGGTTTGCCTCAGATACCCTAGGTCTCTCCCTGATAATTCCCTCCCAGGTGTATCAGTCATCCCTCCTTTCCCCTCCCAGCACTGTCTGTCAGTCCTGGCATTCCAGAAGTGATTGGCAGATTCAAGGGATGTCCTCTACCCCTGGGGGGCACTGGGCCATCCAGGTGTCCTTTGTCCCTTTGTTCCTCCCCTCCTGTCCCTGGCTGGTGGCTCCCTGCCCCTTCCCTGCCCCTCTCCCCGGGGTTAAAGGAGCAGCAGCCACGGGCTCAGGGAGTTCTGTTGGAGCTGGTGCTGCATTCAGAGGCCTGTGGGCCAGAATAAAGCTCTGGATCCAAACCCTCCATCAGAACCGACTCCTGTCCTTCACCATCGCCTTAAAGCTTCTCTGCCAGAGGGAAACCTGAGGAGCAGCCCCTGTTATGGGGGGAAGCTCCATCCCAGCACCACCAGAGCTCCTGCAGGCCTGGACTTGTCCCCACGGGCCCAGCTGCACCACCCAGCCAGCCCAAAGTGTCTGTGGGGTGAAACACCACACACCCAGGCAGCTAAAAGTGTCTGTGGGGTGAAACACCACACACCCAGGCAGCCAAAAGTGTCTGTGGGGTGAAACACCACACACCCAGGCAGCTAAAAGTGTCTCGGGTGAAAACACCACACACCCAGGCAGCCCAAAGTGTCTGTGGGGTGAAACACCACACACCCAGGCAGCCAAAAATGTCCCTGAGGTAAAACACCATAGTTGCTGCCTTTTGGTCAAGCAGCAAAGGTCAGACACACTCAGGCATGTCCCGTCCTGCTATATTGGTAATAATTTACCAATATAGCCTGGCATGGCAGGGCTGTGGCTCTGGCTGCCTGCAGCCAGCCCATCCCTGCCTGAGCCCAGGAGCAGCTCCAGCCCAGCCCAGCCACCACAAAGCCCCTTCCACACTCCCCAGGGCCGGTGCTGTCCCCTCCCTGGGCACAGGCACCTGCTCAGGGATGGCAGCTGAGCACTGTCCCCAGTGAGGACAGCACCCTGGGACAAAGCCAGGGGAAGGTGATGCAAAGCCAGGCTGGGAGAGGGATTAGGGCCCGACAAGGAATCCTGAAAGTGGAATTAGGGCCCTCCAAGGAATCCCTCTCTTGCCTCAGGGTGCAGCCCCAGAGCACAGGGGCACTGCCTGGAGCCCAGGATGTTTCCCTCAGCCCTTGGGCTTGTACCCAAGCAGCCACAGCCGCACAGGACCGAGGGAAGAGGCACTGAAACAGCATTTATTTATGGGATGAGCCCCACACATACCTCAGAAAGGAAGGAGATTATAGGATTCCTCCCTGCCTGCAGGTCTGGAGGCAGCTGCGGTGCTGGGGCGGGGACAGCTGCCCTGGGGACAATGTGACACAGGCTGGACAGGCTGCGGCCAGGCAGCAGAGTGCCATCCTTCCTGCAGCTCTCGTGTCCCGGGAGGGGACAGAGCAAGCCCCTGAGGGATGAATCTCCCCGAGGCTGGAGATGCTGCACAGGGCCATGGCAGCACTGCGGCTCACACCGCGCCTGCAGTGAAGCATCTCGGGCAAAGCCCTCCTCCTCCTCACTTCTCCCAAAGGCAGGAGATGTGCTGGCAGGTCCCAGAGGAGCAGCAGCCACGAGATGTGCAGTGGGCAGCTCTGTCGGGGGCAGGCAGGGCTCCTGCCCTGCTGCCAGGGGATGCTCACCCCGACCAGCCTGAGAAGCTGAGATGCCTCAGGAACAAAATGTAAACAATGGTTATCTGCTGCTGTGGAATGCAACAGGTGCATCTGTGATTGGTCTCATGTGGTTGTTTGTAATTAATGGCCAATCACAGCCCAGTTGGCTTGGACAGAGAGCCAAGCCACAAACCTTTGTTATGATTCTTTGCTATTCTATTCTTAGCTAGCCTTCTGATGAAATCCTTTCCTCTGTTCTTTTAGTATAGTTTTAATGTAATATATATCATAAAATAATAAATCAGCCTTCTGAAACATGGAGTCAGATCCTCGTCTCTTCCCTCAACCTGAGACCCCTGTGAACACGGTCACACCTAGGGGCAGCTGGGCACCAGCCATGTGCCCAGATCCAAAGGTGCAGAGGTGAAACTCACCCTGCCGAGCTCCAGGGCAAAGCTGGGAGCAAAGGAGTCACAGGGCAGAGGAAGAGAAGCCGCCAGAACCCGGAAAGCAGCTGCTAGCGTTGTTAACATTTCCCATTTTAATTGCTTTAATGACACCCTGAGGGATGGATGTGCGACTCAGCGAGTGCCCCGAGGAGCTGAGCTGGAACACAGCTGTCACCACCCGCCCCCTCCTGCCCACCTCCCCTCAGCCGTGTAATTAGCGCGGTTAATGATGCTGGCAGCCCGAGCCCCCCAGGCAGGAGAGAGACCCTGACCCCAGCTGGCAGTTGAGCGGCACCACGGCTTCCCAGCGCCTCCTGGGCATGCCGGGGGGTTTGGACTGGACCAGACGTGGCTAGTCCACACCAGGATCCGCTGTTCCCCTCCTCGGGGATGGGCTGGGACAGGGGGTGAACCTGGAGCGGGTCAGGATGGAGATGGCAGCTGGGACATGACAGCTGGGACCGACCTGGGCTGCGCAGGTGTCCGGGCACCACCAGCCCTCATCCTTAACCCTCGCTGCCTTTCTCCTCCTCCTCCTCCCTGCGGCAGGGCAGGGGCAGCACCTCTGTCCCCGCATGTCCCTGGTCCCCAGGGTGGCTCGGAGCTCAGCGGTGCCGGACACTCGGCAATCACCAGGGCGATTTGGGCAGGAGCAGGAGGTCGGAGGTGCTGCAGGGGTGGCTGTGTCCCGGGCTGTGCCCCTGGCCCTGGCACACGGCCAGGAGTGTGCCTCGGAGCCCCGGCCCCTGGCACCGGAGGGGACGCGGTGTGACAGCAGGAACTGCGCCAGCATCCCCGAACACAAAGAGCCACCACCTGCCTTTCCAACTCCCCCGTGCCACCCACAGCCGCCAGGATGCCGAGGCAACCTCCAACCCACACGGGGCATCCTCCCCCACAATCCCGGAGCGTCGGGAGCGGGCAGGGACAGGGCTGCACCCGGGGGCTGCCGCAGGCACCGCTCTGCTGGATGCCATGGCTGTGAACAGCCCCGGGGAACCTTCCACGGCGTTCCTGCCACACAGCTCCCGCTGCGGGAGTCATGACAGCCGGCTCTGGATGAGGCGTGGGCTGCTCCCAGCCACCAGAGGCCCAGCATTCAGCAGAAGGACACGACACCATTACTGAAGCCATCACGACCAGGCTGGCACGGGCACATCCCCCGGGCCGGTTCCTCCGGGAAGGAGCCCCACCGAGCGGGGCACGGGCTGCGGGGGTCCCCCCGCGGTACTCACGTCGTGGAAAATGGGCAGCGGCTGGCGGCGGGGCTTGGGGCCGCGATCTGCGGACAGCAGGCACACGGCCAGCAGCTCGGCACACGACATCATGGTCCCGCCGGGCGCGGTGCTGCGGACACCGGGGCAAGGGGAGCGGTGCTGGAGGGTGCGGTGCCTTAGGGCGCGGTGCGGTGCCCGGGATGCGGTATGGTACCGCAGGGTACGGCTTCGGTGTGGTGCCCGGAATGCGGCGCGGTGCCTGGGATGCGGTGCAGAACCGCAGGGCACGGTCTCGGTGCGGTGCCCTGGCGTGCGGTGCGGTGCCGCAGGGCACGGATTCGATGTCGTGCCCGGGATGCGGTGCGGTGCCGCAGGGCACGGCTCGGTGCGGTACCGTAGAGATGGGCTGGGTGCGGAAAGAACGGCCTTGGTGCGGTAGGGATGGGTCTGGTTCCGTGCCTTAGCGATCAGTTGCGTGCCGGAGGGATGCGTTCGGTTCTGTTCGGCGCTGCAGGGACGGGTTCGGCTCTCTTCGGTTCGGCAGGGTGGCTCGGCTCGGTCCGTGTGCCTGTCGCGCCCCACCGATCCCGACTCAGCCGAGCGGCTTCGCCGCCCAAGCCAACTTTGCCTCCGCGGAGGGCCCGCCTCTACCACCATACGATTGGCCAAGAGCTGTGATTGGCACCAATAACCACCAATGGGCTTGGCGGATGGGAGAGGGGCGGGGCCGCGCTGGGTCCGGGTGCCCGCTCGCCGCTGGGGCGGTCCCGGTTGGACCCAGAACAGCCCCGTGGTCTCCCAGTGCTGGGTCCTGTGATCGACCCTGAGTGTCCCAGTGTGACCATAGCTGTCAGTGCTGGCCCCACAGCACCCCTGGGTCCCCCAGGTGATCCCAGTGTGGCCACAGGTGGTCTCAGTGTGGTCACTGTTGGTCCTACAGTAACACTGGGTGCCTCAGCTGGCCCTGGGGTGGCTCTGGTCTGGTGATGGATGATTCCAGTGTGGTCGTTGTTGACCCCACCGTAGCCCTGGGTGCCCTAAGCGAGGCCCCAGTTGGTCCCAGTTTGACTGTGAGTGGTCCCAGTGTGATTGCTCTTGCCCCCTGGGTAGCTCTGGTTGCCCCAGATGGCCCTGGGGCTGCCCCAGTTTGACCATGGGTGGTCATAGTGGGGTCATGGCTGGTCCTAGCACGGATTTGGTTGTTCCACTATGGCTCCAGTTGGTCCCAGTTTGACCACAGTGCAGTCACTGTTGGCTTTGGGACATCCCTGTTTGTCCCAGTTGGTCCCAGTTTGACCACAGATAGTCCCAGTGCAGTCACTGTTGGCTTTGGGATAGCCCTGATTGTCCCAGTTGGTCCCAGTTTGACCACAGGTGGTCCCAACACTGATGGCACTGAGAAAGTCCTGGTTCCCTCAGTTGGCCCTGGGTTGGCCCCAGTTTGACCACAGGTGGTCCCATTGTGGTTTTGATGGCCCTGGAGTGATCCCCTGACACCCAGGCTGGTTCCAAATGAGTTCCTGGTGGTGCCAGCCCCTCCATGCCCTCAGTGCCAGCCAGCCTTTGCTCCAAGCTTCTTCCCTCTGGAGCAACATGCCAGGATCCCAGTACCTCCAGGGATGGGAACTCCCTGCCCCAGCAGGCTGGGGGACACAAGGAAGAGGAGGAAGAGGAGGAGGAGGAGGAAGAGCTGTCCCCATCCCTTGCCTGGCACAGGAACCTGGGGGCTTGTGCCTCCATTCCAGGATTTCCCTTCCTGAGAAAGGGCCATGAACCTGGTTTTTTTTTGGATTTTGCAGAGTTCCAGGCAGACTTTGCCTCCCTCAGCACCACCCCTGCTTTCACAGGGAGCTCTGCAGAACACCCTGATTGCTGAGCTCAGCTCTGCATGAGCCCAGTCTCAGATCCCAGCCCCAACGTGACCCAGTGCAGCACGTGGAGCTCCCTCACCTCCTGCTCCCCCTGGGACAACGTGCTCCAAGCTGAGCCCAAGGCATCACAGCTATTTTTACCATCTCCCAGCTGTTCCAGGTGTGTGCAAAGCAAAAGAGGTGGAAAAAGCCCAGCTGTGCCCTGGCAGGGGCATCCAAGGGCTCCAGGGTGCATGTGCACTCCCTGCCCTTGGCACGGGGCTGTCCCTGTCCCCAGGGAGGCACAGAGCTCCAGGGGCTGGAGCTGCTGAGCACAACCATCACCAAATCCATCTGAAATGGGAGCAGGAGCAGAGCACAGGCCAGGGCTGCAGCAGGGACAGGGTTCGCCTTGCATGGAGCAGGGAAGGGGTGTGGGTGATGGTGAGGCTTTGCCCTGGATCAAAATATCCCCCTTGGAAGGGCTTCCCACACTCCCATCTGCCCCAAAACCCCACACTTGGTGCCCAGAAGGATCCCTGGGAGTCAGTGTGGGTTTCCATGTGGGAAGGAGCAGCCTGAGAGTGAGGGTGAAGTTCAGGCTGATGGCAGGAGGTGACAGGTGTGACGGTGTTCACAGGGGTCTGAGGATGAGGGAAGAGATGAGGATCTGATTCCATGTTTCAGAAGGCTGATTTATTATTTTATGATAAATATTACATTAAAACTACACTAAAAGAATAGAAGAAAGGATTTCATCAGAAGGCTGGCTAAGAATAGAACAGCAAAGAATGATAACAAAGGCTTGTGGCTCAGATAGAGAGCCTGAGCCAGCTGACTGTGATTGGCCATTAATTAGAAACAACCACTTGAGACCAATCACAGATGCACCTGTTGCATTCCACAGCAGATAACCATTGTTTACATTTTGTTCCTGAGGTCTCTCAGCTTCTCAGGAGGAAAAATCCTAAGGAAAGGATTTTCCATAAAAGATGTCTGCTACAGACAGGTGCTCCCAATCCCAGAAAGCCATGGCAGGCAATGGGGACATGGCCCAGGTGTGGGGGACACCAGGGCTCTGCTCTGCTCCCCAGCACCTCAGCAGGGAGGAATTCAAGGGAGCAGCCACTCAACAGCATCCCAGGAATAAACAATGCTGCTCTTCATCTCCCTGAGCTTCCTCCTTTGGAGGAAACAGGAGAGGGTTGGAAATAGGGAAGGGTGGGGTGGGATGCAGAGGTGGGGCAGGACACCCCTGCCTAGAGAGACCCCAAACCCCTCTAGGACCCTCTGAGGGGGACCAGGTTAAAGGTACAAACCCTTTTGGGGGGCATTAATGCCACTGCCAGCCTGTCCTGGAGCTCACCCCACTGTGGAGCTCTCCTGACCCCCCAGACCCCAACCCTACAGCCCAGGGCCAGGACACCCCAGGGCTGCTATTGGTATTTAATTCCAATACCTGGGCTCAGCACCGTGGCCACATCCTGCCCAGCATTTCCCAGTGCCAGTGGAGTCACCATGGTCCCTGTGGGGTGACACTCCTGGCAATGAGCTGAGAGCCCAAGGATGGTTGCAAGGTGCCAGCCCCTGACCTGCTGCCTTCACCTGGCACAGAAAAGCAGCTTTGCAGCAGATAAATCAAACCAGACAGTGCCTGGGGCTGCCTCCCAGCGCTGCCATGTGCTCTTCTACCATCAGCTCCCTCTCCAGGCACCCGAAATAGCAGAGGGAAGCCCTTCAGCTGCATCATGAATCATCCTGGGAGGCACAGTGGTTATTTTTACGTGGCTCACGTGGAGCTGGGCAGTGCTGCTGCAGTGGGACACAGCCCTGTCCGTGTGGTGGTGTTCACAGGGGTCCCAGGACGAGGGAAGAGATAAGAATCTTGACTCCATGTTTCAGAAGGCTGATTTATAAAAATATTATTTTATAAAATTATTTTATAAAATTAAAAAATATATTTGATAAAATTAAAAAAATATATTTGATAAAATTTAAAAAATATATTTTATAGAATTTTAAAATAGAAAATATTATTTTATTATATATATTATATTATTAAAAGAAAATTAGATATTATAACTATACTAAAAGAATAGAAGAAAGGATTTCATCAGAAGGCTAGTAAGCAATAGAAAAGAATGATAATAAAATCTTGTGACTGCTCACAACCTCAACACAGGTGGTTTTCATTGATCATCAAGTAAAAAAAAAAATTCACATGCTGGGTAAATAACTCTCTAAATCTCATTCCAAAGCTGCAAAACATGGAGAAGCTGAAGCTTCTCAGCTTCTCAGGAGAAAAGATCCTAAGAAAAGGATTTTTCATAAAATCTGTCTGTGACACTTTGCCTTCTCTTGGGGGAAAGAGGCAGAGCTGTGCTACTGCTGTGGAGCTGGGGATGGCAGTGCAAATCCTCTCCCCTCTCCTGTGCCCCCTGGATCCCATAAAAACCATTTCCTGTGCTGGGGTGTAGGAGTGACAGGGGCAGGACGGTCAGGACAGACGGACACGAGAGATCTCTGCAGCCAGGGCTGGAACTTGGGGTTTATTGCAAAGGGCCTGGGGGCAGGGCCCTGCTGGGAGCTGCCAGACACAGCCCAGAGCAGGCCCGAGAGAGGAGAGGGGGAGAGAGAGAGAAGGCAGAGCGTGGTAAAAAGGAGAGAGAGAGTAAAAGAGTAAAAGAGAGTGAGGGGATGAGTAAAAGAGAGGATAAGAGAGCGAAGTTCCTGTTACAATACAATAAATCTTCTTCTGTGTTGGATATTCTGATTCTCACTGACCAATCTAGTACAATACACAAATCCTACAGCATTTACATACAGCCTATAAGAATCATTACATTACCATACTGTGTTACATTTTAAACCCTAAAAACTCCTCTTTGGGCCCCTTCTGCCAAGCTGTAGAGTCTGCTCTGACCCTTGGGCCTATCTGCAAGCAGAGGGTGTTGTTCCATCAGAAGGAGATCACCTTCAGCTGGCCATGCCATTGTTTTCCAGTTGTTCAGTAACTGAGGGATCTCAAAGCTTGCTTTCATTTCAATCTCGCTTATAGTTTCCATATTCTCAAAATCTTTTGCCAGACAATCATATTGATAAGGCTTTCCTGCTTCATCTTCCCCAACACCGGGGTCTCTCCCCTTTGCAGCACTGCAGATCACCATCACCATCACCATCACCATCCATCACCTCAGGACTAAGCAGAGGAGAGCAGGAGGGAGGGCTGGGCAGGAGCTGCCATGGGCTGGGCTGGGCACTCTGCAGTGTCGGGTACCTGTTGCTGATTCCTTGACTTCTGGGTTATGGCTGGGCCCTCCCTGGGGGCTCCCCTGTTGTGGGAGACCCTCCTGGGGTGGTTCTATGTCAGGAAAGAGACACACACTGGATCTTTTCGGTCTTCAGGTTCTTGTTTATTATTGTCTTATCTGAAGTTGTGCACGCTGTCCACACCAGGCTCAGTGCACTGGAAAAGCACCACAAAAATGGCAACAATCTCTTGTTCCAAGGTCTTTTAAGACTAAACTATCCAATTAAGAGCTGACACCTGGATTATTTTCCCTTTTAACCTAATAACTGATCCCACAGAGCCCCCAATGCAGACTTGTCTGCCCAATTACAAAACGCCACCCAAACCCACGGAGAAGAAGGTGTGGGAAGAGAGGCACAAGGGTGCAGGCAGGATGCCAGGCAGTGTGATGGGCTCTCTGTGCCACCCAGCAGCCTGTGCTGACCTGGGATCCCATTGCCTGCCGCTGCAGGAGCAGGGGGAGTTTACACAACACGCTCAGGGTGAAATATTTATCAGGCTGTTTAAAGGACAACCAGGCAGGAGGAGGGGAGAAAGGGCACAAACACAGGCAGGAAGGAGCACAGCCCTGGCTATGCCACTAGGGAGCCCCTGAGCCCCATCCTGGCTGCCTGGAGCCCCTGGGAGCTCCAAGCTCCCCTCCCTGGGGTCCCCAATGTCCGTCAGTCCTGGTGTCCTGCAGAGGGATCAGGGCAGGGCTGCTGCTGCTGGCAGTGTGTCTGTCCCCAGGCAGCAAGGACACGGGGACCACAAGGACCTGTGCCAGCAGGTGCCTTGGGGCAGCACCGAGGGCTGGGTGAACGGGGAAAGCTGGGAACTCAGTGCAGGGAGTGGCTTCACACTGGCCCCATGCTGTAGCCGTCAGAACTCAGCACATCCCTCCAGGTGCCCAGAGCTGCTGAGGACCCCGCCAGGGGGCTCAGAGACCCTGGCACACAGCCCAGGGCACCTGGGGATTTGATTTTGACCCCTGGAGCAAGTTACCAGCTTTGTATGAGGACCTAAAAGTCACACAGGTTTGAATGGTATAATAATAAAATTATCACAGGGTGAAAATTTAGATTTTAGGATTTTTGGTATGGGGGTTATGGGGACAAGATGGAGGAACTTGGGCATGTCCAGCCTTTCTTCTTCTTCTTGTTCTCCATTTTCTGCAGTGATGTTGGCACTTTGGGATTGGTTTAGAGTAGAAGTGCACTCACTGTCTAACACAGGTGATAGGTATTGGATATTAAGTGTAAATATGTTATACGTAGTTTGTAGTATAAAAGGACAACACCGCCTTGGGGGTGGTCAGAGTGCCTGTGGCTGCCCTGCTGAGCAGATCTTGGCTGGGCAGAAAGAAAATTTTATAGATAAGAATTAATAAACAACCTCAAGACCGAAAAGTGAAGAGTCCAGACTCGTTCTTCAATTGTGCGGGCCGAAACAGAGACACCCTGCACATCTCGGGGCAGCAATTAACAACAGCAACCCGAGACAGCCCCAGCCAGGAAAATGCTGCCCCAAAACCAGGGGGAAGGCGGGGAGGGAACCAGGCACGAGAGGAGCCAAGTGGGGACAGGGGCTGCTGGAAGGAAAGCAAACCCCATCCAGCCCCATCACCCCATCCTCCTGCAGCTCAGCCTCTGTGGGGGAGCAGGGAGGGCAGGGTCAGACCCACATCCCGCCCTGGGTGGGACCAAGCACCAAAGCACCTCTGGCAGCCCCAGGTATGGACATCTCTGGGCATGGATTTCAAGTTCAAAGTAACCCCAAACCTCTCAGTTTCTCAGCTGAGGTCCCCACCACCCCTCACACCCCCAGGCACCTGAGCACAGGCAGAGGGCAGAGTCAGTAGAAACCTTTATTAAACACAAAGCTCCGAGGAACACAAGCTCGTTAAATGGCAGTAAAAGTGAAAGTGCGTCTCCAGCTCGGCCCAGGGGCACCTCAGGACCCCCCTGCCCTCCTCTCCCAGCCCCAGTGGTCTGGGCATGGGCAGCCAGAGCCAAAGGGCTGCACAGGGAGGGGAAGGAAAGCCTGGAGACAGCACAGTTGGGTGCTCACCTGCAGAAATGCTCCCCCTGGCCACCTCTGTGTCCCCTGAGGGGACAAGCACACGGTGCCAGGGCCACCAGCTCCCCCAGCCCCGTCCCCACTGCCACCTGCCACAGCCGTGGCCTTGCCAGCCCCGTTCTGGACCCAAGCAAAGCCAGGATGTGCTGGTGGGACCCTGGTGACACCCTCCATGTCCCACCAGCACCGTCCTCCTGCCCCCTCCATGTCCTGGGAGAGCTCCACACGCCATAAATAATAAATAAATACCCCACGCTCAGCCAGGCCGTGGGCAGCCCCCAGGCAGGGGGACAGCCCTGAGCCAGCACCCCCCACACCTCCACCACCCCCTCCCAGCACAACAAAAACTCTCAGCACCCCCACTCTGCTGTACAGCCCCCCCCAAACCCCCGTGGAAATGAAACGCTGTCCCCAGGGGACAATAATAAATTAATCAAATCATTAATCTATACACAGGACTGCTTAAAGCTCTGCAACGGGCTCCTGGGGGGCAGTGGCTCTGCCCTGGGCAGTGCCCCTGATCAGGGCCCTATGGGGGGGGTCCCCCAAGATGGGAACCCCACCCTGGCATCCTCCCCGTGGGGCTGGAGCTGGGGATGCCACCGGGCTGGAGGGATAATGAGAAAATATTGCAAAAATGGGTGGGGAACAGGGGGCACGGGAGCCAGCGGGGCTGCCCTGCCCTGGCACTGCCCCAGGCACCCGGGAGGGCTCAGCCTCAGAAGTCCAAGGGGGTGAAGTCCCCAAAGTTGCAGTCGAAGAGCTCGCTGATGCCCTCGCCCTCCTCCAGCCCGAAGTGATAGTCCTGTGCCTGCGGCGGCGACAGGTTGATGAACTCATCGGGCAGGAAAGCCGCCAGCTCCTCCCTGCTCTGCTCCAGCAGCATGTCCATGGAGGCCAGGGGAGACAGGCTCACCTCCTCCTCCTCCTCCTCCTCCTTGGGGCCCTTGCTGGGCAGCGCGCTCGGCCCTGGCAGCAGCGCTTCTGTGGGCATGGCAACAGCTGTAAATCCCATCATGCTCTCCAAAGAAACCCCAAAAAAGGCTTTTGTGCCTGGGGAGATCCTGCCTTCCCACCTCCCTGCCTTGTTGGGGTGCCTGAGCAGCGTGCCAGCTCCTGGCTTGTGCCACTACAGAGGGGCTGAGAGCCACCGTGACATCCCACCAGTTCCCTGATGTCCCCAGGCCCCTCATGTCCCCAGGCTGTCCCCAGCCCCCTTGTGTCCCCAGCTCCCTGGTGACCCCAGCCCCTCCCTTGTGTGCCCAGGCCCTTCATGTCCCCAGCCCTTCGTTTCCCCAGGCTCCTCATGTCCCCAGCTCCCTCGTGACCCCAGCACCTCCCTTGTGTCCCCAGGCTTGTGACCCCAGGCCCCTCGTGTCCCCAGCCCCTTTGTGCCCCCAGCCCCTTTGTGTCCCCAGCCCCCTTGTATCCCCAGGCTCTTCGTGTCCCCCAGCCCCTCCCTGGTGTCCCCAGGCCCTCCCTGGTGTCCCCAGGCCCTTCATGTCCCCAGGCCTCTCATGTCCCCCAGGCCCCTCGTGTCCCCAGCCCCTCCCTCATGTCCCCAGCTCTCATTTCCCCAGGCCCCTTGTGTCCCCCAGCCCCTTCATGTCCCCAGGCCCTCCCTTGTGTTCCCAGCCCTCTCATGTCCCCAGGCCCCTCATGGCCCCACCTCATTTCCCCAGTTCCCTCGAGTCCCCAGGCCCTCCCTTGTGTCCCCAGGCTGTCCCCAGCCCCACCTTGCTCTCCAGGCAGCAGAGGCATGTTCACATCCTGGGCAGGATGCAGGAGCAGGGGGGCTCTGGGCTGTGAGTGGCTGGGAGGAGAGTCCTCAGCAGGGGCTTTGAAGGGGCTCTTGACAGGGCTGCAGACCCCCGAGCTGTCCTCGGGGCACAGGAACACATCGATGGGGCCCTGAGTGCTTCTCACCGAGACCTGGAACGCCTGGGGAGGGGACAGGAGTGACACAGGGTGGCACAGGGACACGCAGAGTGTTGGGGAGGATGAAGCAGGAAAGCCTTATCAATATGATTGCCTGGCAAAAGATTTTGAGAATATGGAAACTATAAGCGAGATTGAAATGAAAGCAAGCTTTGAGACACCTCAGTTACTGAACAACTGGAAAGGTCAGAGCAGACCCTGCCAGCTTGGCAGAAGGGGCCCAAAGAGGGATTTTTAGGGTTTCAAATGTAACACAGTGTGGTAATGTAATGATTCTTATAGGCTGTATGGAAATGCTGTAGGATTTGTACCTTGTACTAGATTGGTTGGTGAGAATCAGAATATTCAGCACAGAAGGTTTATTGTATTGGAAAGGGAACTTCGCTCTCTTTACCCTCTTACTCTCTCCCCCTCTCACCCTCTCTCCCCCTCTCCTCTCTCACCCTGCTCTGGGCTGTGTCTGGCAGCTCCCAGCAGGGCCCTGCCCCCAGGCCCTTTGCAATAAACCCCAAGTTCCAGCCCTGGCTGCAGAGATCTCTCGTGTCCGTCTGTCCTGACCGTGCTACCCCTGATGCTCCTTCAGCAGAGAACCCTGGGCTGCTCAGGGAGGGCACAGGAGGAGCAGAGCGTGACCCCAACTCACCTCTGCAGGGTCTGACACCTGCAGCTGGGTCTCTGGGGGGGCTTTGATCACCATCACCATTTGCTCCGCGGGGTCCACGATGCTGCGGAGGTCCTGGCAGGTCACATAGGCTGCGGTGGGGCGGGTCAAGGAAGGGACACACAAGGGGATGTGGGCAGAGAACCGCCCTGCCTGCGCCTCCAGGGCTCAACCACAGCCCCACCCAGCCAGCCCCGCCCCACAAGCAAAGGATATTGCTGGTTGGCGGGGTCCTCGGTGAGCAGGCGCAGCTGCACTGTGCACATCTGGATGAGGTCATCCAGCTGCCGCTCGGCCGCCTGCAGCTCCCGCAGCTCCTTCTCCAGCAGCCGGTGCCGGCCTGGCGCTCCCACGGTGGCCTGACTGCCCCTGGGGAGCACCGTGCCCATCAGCAGCCAGCCCCCACAGCTCGCTGTGCCCCCAAGGAGAACCAGCCCTGCAGGGATTTTAGCAGCAGAGCGCTCCCCAAGGCTGGATGCAGCCCCCACCACTCCCCTGGATGACTTGGGGGGCCCCAGGGGACTCACAGGAGTTTCCTGCCACTGAGCACAGCCCTCCCTGCAGCAGAAGCTCTGGTGACCCCACCCTGAAACTCCCCACCCAAGTAAGACCATCCTCCACCCAGACAGCTCCCCCACCCCAGGCACAGCCCCGTGAGGCCAGGGACGTACAGCCACTGGATGTGGTTCTTGGATTTCTTGGTGATGAGCTGTATGCCCTCCAGGACGTTGGTGATGTCGTAGATGCGCCTCTTCTGCACCTTCAGCACCTCGGCCGCCCAGTTGAGGTCCACCACACCATCTGGGGACTGGCTCAGCAGCTCCAGGAAGCGCTTGGTGGTGAGGTTCAGGGAGGTTTCATACCGGGACTTCTCTCCAGGAGACTTTGCCCCTGCCAGACGTGGAGGACAAGTGTCATTCAGCCACAAGGGAAAAGCAGAGCTTAAAGGTCAAAAAACTCCTGCCACCTGCTTGTAGGTGGCTTGTGGACTGGACTGGCACCCCAAACCCGATCTGTTTTGTCAGGGCAATGGGGTGAGGTGCCGAAATCCCCTGCAGGAAGGAGGTTGGAGCACCTGGCACAGGCTGTGACACCTGTGCTGCAGGTGTGACTGAGACAGAGAGTGGCAGGCAGGGCTCAGGGGGGAGAGAGCAGCAGGTCCTCCTGGGACACTGCACTGACACCACGCTGGCACCTACAGCTGCATCCCACAGGGAGGGACAGAGCCAGTGTGGCACCCAGCAGAAGGGCAGGACAACCGTGCCACCAGCACAGGGCACAGCAGGGAGTGTGGAGAGTGGACAGCCCCAGGGACAGCCCATTCCAAAGGGCCTGGAAGAACCTGCCAGGGATGAGCCTGGGGGAGCAGAGTGGGGCTGCTGGAGCTCTGCTCTGAGCTGGGCTGGCAGGGGGGCCGGGGGAGCGGAGCTGATACCTTTGGCAGGGTTCCTGGCCTTGCCCCGGCTCACTGGCAAACTCTCCGCTATGTACTGGTGATCCGTCTCCAAGTTCAGCTTCCTCTTCACCTGCAAGGGACGGCGTCAGGCTCCAGTGCTATTGAAGGGTGTCTGTGAGGAACCCCCCAGCACCGTGGGGTGCAGACACCCCAGATCCGGGCAGGAGGGGGTGACAGGAGCTGTCACACACCCGGCGGGCATGGGGGGCTGTCCCCACCGCGGGGGCCCTGCCACGCTGCGGGGAGCGCCCCAAAGGCGGCAGGGCCGTGGGTGGGGAGGCCAAGCACGGCCCGGCGCCCGGGCCTGCGGCTTCCGGAGCGGCGGCGGGGCAGGGCCGGCCCGGCAGGTGCTGCGTGGCACGGCCCGGCCGTACAGCCTGGCACAATCGGGGGCACCGGGCACGGGCTGACACCGAGCAGGGCACGGCATATGGCACGGAGCGGTACGGCCCGGCCCGGTATGGAGCCCGGTCCATATAGAGCACGGCTCGCTGTACGGCCCGGCTCGGTACGGCACAAAGCAGGGCCCGGTATCCAGCCGGGCCCATTGTATAGCCCGGCTCCGTGTACTCCGGTGGGGAATACGGCCCGGTAGGGTATACGGCCCGGTCGGTACGCAGCCGGTTCGAGGCTCAATACTGCCCAGCCCATAACACAGCCCGAGCCCGCCGCTCCCCGGAGCCCCCGCCCGGCGCCGTCCCCCGCCCCCTCCCCATCCCACTCGCGGGGGTTACCGGCGGGCGGCCCAGCGCGGGCCGTCTGGGCGCGGCGCCGGGGCGGGCGGGCTGCGGCGTGGCGAAGAGCAGGAGGTCGGTATCGGGGTGGCCGCCGCCCGCGGGCTCCTCGGCGGCGGCGGAGACGATCAGGAGGTGCGGGGAGGCGCTGCCCAGCAGCGCCGCCAGCCCCGCCGCGCCGCCCGCCGCCGCCATGGCTCACATGGCAGCCGGTGCCGCCGGTGCGGCGGGCGGCGCGGCAGGCAGGGCGCGGACAGGGGCGCGGCCCATGGCGGGCGCGGGGCCGCTGCGCTCCAGCTCCGGCTCCGGCTCCGCTGCGCCCGCCGCCGGATTGTTCGGCGCGCCGGCCCCGCGCGCCTTTGCGCGCCAAATCCTTTTTGCCGCGAAAAGCGGCGCGAGCCGCCCCGCCGCCCGCCCATTGGCTGCGCCCGCCGCGGCGGGGATGTAAGGGCGCGCTGCCATTGGCTGGAACGAGCGGGGAGGCGGGCGGTGCCGCGCGGCCATTGGCGGGCGGGGGCCGCGCTGACAGGCGGCCAATCAGCGGCGTCGCGCTGGGGCGGCGGCCAATGGGAGCGCGGCTCGGGGACGCGGCGGGGGCGGCGCGTGGGTGCGGCGCGCGCTGTGTGTGTCCCCCCCGGGGGTGTCCCCGCCCTGTCCCTGTTTGTGTCCCCCATAGGGGTGTCCCTCTTTGTGTCCCCCCCGGGGGTGTCCCCTCCCCTGTCCCTGTGTCCCCCATAGGGGTGTCCCTCTTTGTGTCCCCCACGGGGTGTTCCCCCCCCTGTCCCTGTTTGTGTACCCTGGGTCTCCCCTTAGGGGTGTCTCCTCCCACGTCCCTCTTTGTGTCTCCCTCGGGGGTGCCCTCTCCCGTATCCCTCTTTGTGTCCCCCATAGGGATGTCCCCTCCCCTGTCCCTGTTTGTCTCCCGTGTCCCGCTCGGGGGTGTCCCCTCCCCTGTCCCTGTTTGTGTCCCCCTCTGAGGTGTCCCCTCCTGTGTTCCGCCGCGGATTCCTCGCTCCGACCCGGCCCCCGCTCCCGGTTTTCCCCCGTGGGGAGTTCCAGGCTCGGTCCCGGCCCGGGCTCAGCCCCGCCGGGCTGACGGGCTCCGGTGTGGCCGCTCCCCGCCCCGGTGCCCGGCAGGACGGGCCACGCACCCACGAGCAAAGTTCAGCTCGCTCCGTGCCCTGGGGGCTCCGCCCCGCCTCGGATGTCACTGCTGGGAAGAAGGTGGCTTTGGGCTCTGCAGGGTGTCCCAGGCTGTCCCTGTGTGTTCTCCCTGCCCGGGGGTGACAGCCAGCCCAGCCCAGCCCAGCCTGCCGTGCTTTGGGGACACCAGTGTTGCTCAGCCGTGCTGGGGCAGGGGCTCTCCTGTCCTGCGGGGCCAGGTCTCTGCAGAATTTTAGTCTAAAAATGCTGGAGCGATGCAGGGCTCAGCTCAGGGCTGCCCTTGCTCAAAGCAGCCCCGAGATCACGGGTGAGGCTGTGGGGCAAATCTGGAGGTTTCAGGCTCACGCTGCTTTAGGGATCCTGCCCGCACAGAAACCCCGGGATGCTGCAATCTGCTCCCTCCGCTCGGCATTCTGTGTTTCCGAACACCGAACAGCTCCTTCAGGACTGCCTGATAACCCCGCAGAGGGCAGAGGAAAAGCTCTGCCGGCAGCACAACCTGCACTTGACCGTGCCAGGCGCTATCTCCGGCCGTGGCACCGTGTGGCAGGGGACAGGCAGGGACACAGGAACGGCACACGGAGCCGGGAGTGGCCCCATATGCTGAGAGAGATGAGAGTCCACCCACAGACACGGGCTGGGACAGGCGGCTCCCAGCGCCACTATCTGCAGCCTGCAGGACACTGATAACCTCTGCTGCATGAGGAAGCAAAATGAAAAAGGAAAAAAGTACATCCTGCTAATAATAATTTTTTAAAATTTCAAGATTAGGCCTTTTGCAGAGCCCAGATGTGGGGAAGCTCTTGAGGAAAGTGTGGAGCAGGGTCTAATCCAGGCACCCAAAACTCCACTGAGCCAAGCCCAGGGTTTCACCCCTCTGTGCCCCCCAGGAGCTGCCCCACATGTCCCTGGGGGTTTTGGTGGAGCACAGTGGCCCCCAGCCTGCTGCTGGTGCCAGGCAGGGCTGGGAGCCAGTGCTGGCTCCTGCCCCAGCCCTGCTGCCAAGCCTGACCTGCCCAGGGTGCAGGAGAAGGGCTGTTTGTACCAGCAGTGCCAAACCTGACCTGTCTGGGATGCAGGAGAAGGGCTGTGCAGGAGAAGGAAGGGCTGTGCAGGAGAAGGAAAGGCTGTTTTTCAGGAGAAGGGCTGTGCAGGAGAAGGAAGAAGGGCTGTTTTTCCCAGCAGTGCGTGGGATGCAGGAGGCATTTGCAGGGATGAGTTAACTCCTCTGCTGCAGAGCAGATCCTGACATGCAGTGCCCCTGTGCTGGCCTAACAGGTTTCTGGCTTTAAAGGATTTTATGCTGGATATTTTGGCAGTGGTTGCAATTCCCATGGGGATGGCCAGCACGGAGCAGGGCTGTGATTTCCCTGGATCCCTCCATCCTTAAATACAGCAGGACCACGGTGCATGTCCGTGACCAATCAAATCAACTCGCCGCGCCTCATTTCTTCATCAGCACAGAGCAAATAGAAACGCTGCCTCGCTTAAAGGAAATTAATACACTTAATTAACACTTGGCCTCTCTAATATTCCAGGCCCCACTCTCCAGAGCCCTTCCAGTGCAATATCATCATTACTAGGAAGCATGAGCAACAGTTAGACCAGATGTTTGCACACAGTTAATGCTTCTTCCATCTGGGCAAGGGGGAAGAGGCATCCCCAGCAGGCGGGCGGGAGCGCAGGGCTGGCGGAGCTCTCCCCGTGCATCCCTGGGGAGCCCCAGGCCGGCGTTTCCCGGGACGAGGCAGGGTTTGGGACACAGCTGCCGCACCAGCTGCTCCCGCCCGCCTCACAAAGGCCGCCTTCACCCCCCCTAATTCATGCGGGAGCTGCTCGGGGGGAGCCGGCTCTGCCCCCGCTGCGGAGCGCGAAAAGGGCCGGCTGTGCAGACAAATGAAAGGCAAACGCTGCTGGGAGAAGGGCGGGCAGAGCCTTTCCTTGCATGTGGATGAGGGGAAGCAGATGAATTGTGTCTCAGCACAACTGCGGCCCCGCTAAGGAGTGCAGACGTGCTCCCAAGATTAGCTGTGCGGCAGGTGCTGCTCCCAGATAAAGCTCTGTCTGCACAGCCCTGCTGGGCTGGAGAGCATCGGGAGCCTGCTCAGACACTCTGCGCCCCAGCAGGTTTCAGCCTGCGGGAGTTTTGGGTTTGGAACTGAGGGATGGGCTCAGAGCAAGGGGTGTGTGCTGGGAAAAGGCTGCAGCTGGAGCACAGCTGGTACCTGTGCTGGAAAATCACCTGGAGCGGGAGCAGGGGGAGGAGAGCTGGCAGGATGGAAACCCACAGCCCTGGGCTCAGCTAGGGGCAGCAGTGGGTGTCCCGGGAGCACAGCTTCTGTCCCTGCCATGGCAGTCTGTCCTGCTCCAGCACAGCTTCTGTCCCTGCCATGGCAGTCTGTCCTGCTCCAGCAGCTCCCACTGGGTGTCCCGGGAGCACAGCTTCTGTCCCTGCCATCACAGCCACTCCTGCCTCCAGCAGCTCCCACACGGAGTGTTCTTGTTTCTGTGGTTAAGATGACCCCAAGGTGTCAGAAAGTCTCTTTTTTCCCAGCCCCGCGACTGAAGAAGAAGTTGAGATTTGTCAGTTCTGCTTTTCAAGGTTGTTTATCTTTTCTTATCTATTCCATTCTTTCTCTGACCTGCTGAGATCTGTCCAGCAGGTCGGGTTGTGGCACAGTCCCTGCCCTTGGGGTGGTGTTGGCTTTTTATACTAAAAACTACATGTACTTTATTTACAATAATTTTCCAATCCCTATCACCTATGTTAGACAGTCTGTCTCTACTCTAAACCAATCCAAAAGTGCCACCATCACAGCAGAAGATGGAGGACAAGAAGAAGAAGAAGAAGGACAGGACATGCCCAGATTCCTCCATCTTGTCTCTTGAACCCACATTCTAAATCCCCAAAATTCTACTTTTTCACCCTGTGGTAAATTCACTATCATTCTACTCAAACTCTTGTGGTTTGTACATCTCCACGCAAAGTTGGTAATTGTTTCCATGGACTAAAATTGAAGGCACAGATGTTTTTGACCCCATGCCAAGGTCTCTGAGCCCCCTGCCAGGGTCTGGAATCACCCAGAGCAGCCAGAGGAATGTCCTGGGTTCTGACAGAGTGTGCTGAGCTGGCACATGGAAGGAGAGCAGGACTTCCCTGGGGTCTCCTGCCAATGCCCCTGTCCCCAGCTTTGTTCACAGGATGGTGAGCTGGCAGTGTGGCACAATCTGCAGCTGGGGAAAGCCCAGAGCCCCCCAGTTGTGCTGTCCTGACCCTGCAGTCCCTCAGCTCTGCCACCTGAGCCATCACTGCTGTTCTGTGCAAACCAAAGCAATTTTCTGGAGGAACTGAGTGTCTAAAGCTGGCTTGTGGCAGAAGGGAGCAGCCCCGGCTTAGGTGTCTCCTCTCAGATCCCAGTCCCCAAAGCCAGGCAGTGCCTGTTCCCTTGCATCTTTACAGAAGATGACACAGTTCTTCCCACAGGACACCAGGCCAGCTCCTCTTTGGATGCTGGGCACACCAGACTCAGCAGTGCCACCTCCTCCTCTCCTGTGGTGGCACCTGCTTTTAAAGCTCACATCATGCAGGGTCTCTCAGGGAAGCCATGGGCACAGGGCCTGTTCCCCTCCTGCCCTGCTCCATACCCTGCCAGGGCAGCCTTGTCTCATCCTCTGAGCCAAAACACCACAAACACTGAGAGCCACTCCATTCCATAGGGCTGTTCCATTTCCTTCACTCAAAGGAAGTGTTCTTCACCCATGGAAGAACAGAGAGGCTGAAGTGTTTCTGGGAGCCTGGGGCTTTTATCCAGGAGTGATTTGGGAACATGCCAGGCTCTGGCTTGTACCTCTCCTTAGTGTCTGCAGCCAGTCCAGGTTCACTTCCCACCACACGGTCACTGAGAACCCAGAAGTGTTGGAACGCTTTTGCTTTTGTCAGAACAAAACCTACAGGTCACCCAGAGCTTCACCTGGGCTCAGACAGTGTGACATTCTGTGAGGAGGAAAAACCACTTGAAGGTAGCACTGGCATCAGTTTGGGGGTGTTAATTTGGCTTCTCATGGCCCACGCTGGACACTCCAGCATTCCAACAGCTACAAAGCTGAAGGTTTGATCTTACACTCAGCAACTGCTTCATCCCACCACCACAGCAGTCACCTCTACAGCACATTCCCTTTTAGCTTGGAAGAGGCAGCAAAACCATCCCTAGACATCCTTATTTTCTTTATTTGTCACATTTTAAAAACCAAAAAGGTGTGTCAGCCATCCCAGTTTCTTTCTGCAGCTGGCATCCTTACCCATGCAGGATTTAAATCTGATGCTGGGGTCAAAGCAGCCCCAGCTGTTGTTTCCAAGCTGGTAACACCAGAGCCCAAACCATGCCAAAACTGCACCTTGTGCATGGCTTTTCTACATCCAGGACTACAGACATGCAATAATCAGGCATTGTTTCAAAGATTTTAGTTTAAAAATGATGACAGTAAAAAAAAGACAAAAAATTAGGATTTTTATTTGTAGACAAAGTACAGTATTGTAATATTCAAAGAGTGATGATACAGAAATAATGGCCACAAGAAGGTGATTCATAGTGGACAGAGCCACATCAACAACCCCCTGCCCTCTCTTTTTATTGTTTTAAACCCAAAATCCAAGATATTTCTACAAGCAGCTGATCCATGTCACATAAGTTACCTGAGTTATGTTCTTTATTTTATTCTATGCTGTCAGAAAATCAAGGCCTGGATTACACAGTAATTATGAATATAAAATACATCTCAAAAGCAGAGGTAATAATACCTGTATTATAGAGCTTTTAGTTTGTTTTTCTCCCTCCTCACCAGCAGAGACATGAAAATTCTTCTAAATAAAGAAAAAAGTTACCTCCTCCAGCAATCTGGTAGGAACACACAGGTTGAAAACTCAAGATTAACACCCCAAAAATATTAACAGTGGCAGACAGACATGATGCCTTATTTCCCCTCCTCCCTTATCTGTTGGGTTTCAAAAGCAGCATCAGAAAACACATTCAGCTCCAGGCTGCCATGAGCCAGGGAGACAAACACAGCCTGGCAAACAGGGAGCAGCACACAGCTTGGGGTATTATCCAAAGGTCACCTTTGTGCTGATGCAGGGAAAATGAGCTGGAGCTCCCCAGCAGCTTCTCCTGGTGAGGGATCTGCACAGGGTTTGGTGGCTCCAGCAGCACCATGCAGGCAGCCATGGCAGCTCCCAGCAGCCTGCAGAGCTCACTCTGCACTGGGGGCTCTGTCAGCAGCCAGGGATCATCTCTGCCCTTCCACACACACCCAGCTGGGTGTAAAGCAGAGCCTGACCTATCCTAGCAGGGCAGGAAAGTCTCACAGCACCAATATCAAAGCTGCTCTGCACCCTCCCCACCCTGGCACAGGTGCCCAGAGCAGCTGTGGCTGCTCCATCCCTGGCAGTGCCCAAGACCAGGCTGGACAGGGCTGGGAGCAGCCTGGGATAGAGGAAGGTGTCCCTGCCATGGCAGGGGCTGGGATGGTTTTTAAGGTCCCATCTAACCTGAACCATCCCATAATTCTCTGACAAATGCCCTGAGCAGGGCAGTTCTCTGGTCATTGCACAGACACAGGGATGGTTCTGTCCCATGCACTGTCCCATCACACACACAGGGTCACACCCCCAGCCTCCTCAAACCTCCCCTGCAGCACTGAACGGGCAAACACAGGTTCAAACACCCTCTCCTTCACTGCCAGCATCAAACACAGCCCAGAAAAGCTTCCAGAAAAGCTTCCCTGACCCAAATGTCAGGCAGCTGTCTCATTTTCACCTTTGTTAAATAATGCAATTGTCCCGGAAAGGGTTCTGCAGCCCAGCACACAAGCTGTCCTCCAAAGGGAAGGGAAGCACAGTGGGTATGCCAGGGCAGCAGCAGTAAATACCCTGAGCCTGCTTTGTTCCTTCATAAAATAAATGATTAATAGCCCAGGATAGTCAGTGTGCTTGAAAAGCTCAGGATTGCTGAAAACTTTTGATCAGTTTGATTCATTAACCTTTAAAACTGCCTCTAAGAGAGGCTTAAAATCTGAGGGAGAAGCATCATTTTAAACCCTTCAATTTTATCCAGAGTGACAAACTGAGCAAAGACAGAGACTCTGCTCCTCTTTAGAGACACTCAGCATCAGTCAGGTGTCAAGGAAAAAATAACAAGGGGGAAAATAAAGTTGTTGTAGACAAACAACCCCCTGCTCATCTTAAAATTCAAAACCAGTCGGGGCTGGGGGGAGAAAATGACCCTTGTTTGTGATCCTTAAGCACTGGCCATACTGCAGGTGGCTTCCCAACTGTCTCTTTATTTCTTTTGCTTTTAATGCTAATAAAAAAAGGAACCCAAACAGGGCACTCCAGTCCCCAAACAATGCCCTGGGGGAGGGCAGGGAGTGTCACTTACATATCCCAAAAGTCTGACTCAGACAAATTACTTCTAGTTCACTTCCCCACGACACTCCTGCATTGTTCCAACACCTTGGCAGCAGAAGGGGCTCATCCCCAGCTATCTGCTCCCAGGACAGCCAGGGGGGCTGATGTCATTAAGGAGCTGTCCCAATTACTTCCCTGGGGAAAGCACTGACTTGCAGCTTAACGTGCTGGCCCAGCCCAGCAGGGAAAGCAACGGTCAGCAGAGCCCCAGGGGTTTGGGATCAGGGAGGAGCTGGGATGCAGGGATGGCAGCTGCCCCCTGCAGCTCAGCCAGGGCTTCCTTAGAGAGTCCCAGGAGAAAAAGGGAGTTTTGAAGCAAGGAGAAGTCATGGTCACTGCTGCCAGGCTGATTGAGACTGGTTTTTGGTTGGGATTTGTTTTCTGGAGAGGACACAGAGCAGTGTGAAAAGGTCAGAGCTGGGATCCAGGGATGGCAGCTCCACTGCAGGCTCAGCCATGGCTTCCTTAGAAAGGGAGAGATTCCCAAGAAAAAGGAGTTTTGAAAAAGGGAAAAAGGGAGTTCTGAACCAAGGAGAAGTCATGGTCACTGCTGATTGAGACATTGGTTTTTGCCTGGGATTTATATTCTGGAGAGGACACAGAGCAGTGTGAAAAGGTCAGAGCTGGGATCCAGGGATGGCAGCTCCACTGCAGGCTCAGCCATGGCTTCCTTAGAAAGGAGAGATTCCCAAAAAAAAAGGGCATTTTGAACCAAGGAGAAGTCATGGTCACTGCTGCCAGGCTGATTGGGGCATTGGTTTTTGACTGGGATTTGTTTTCTAGAGAGGACATAGAGCAGTGTGAAAAGGTCAGAGCTGGGATGGCAGCTCCACTGCAGGCTCAGGCATGGAAAGGGAGAGATTCCCAAGAGAAAAAGGGAGTTTTGAATCAAGGAGAAGTCATGGTACTGCTGCCAGGCTGATTGAGACTGGTTTTTGACTGGGATTTGTTTTCTAGAGAGAACACAGAGCAGTGTGAAAAGGTCAGAGCTGGGATCCAGGGATGGCAGCTCCACTGCAGCTCCACTGCACATGGCTGCAGGCTCAGCCATGGCTTTCTTAGAAAAAGAGAGATTCCCAAAAGAAAAAGGGAGTTCTGAACCAAGGAAAAGCCATGGTCATTGCTGCCAGGCTGATTGAGACTGGTTTTTGGCTGGGATTTGTTTTCTGGAGAGGACAGAGAGCAGTGTGAAAAGGTCAGAGCTGGGATCCAGGGATGGCAACTCCACTGCAGGCTCAGCCATGGCTTTCTAAGAAAGACAGAGATTCCCAAGAGAAAAAGTGAGTTCTGAACCAAGAAGTCATGGTACTGCTGCCAGACTGATTGCATACATTGGTTTTTGGCTGAGATTTATTTTCTAAAGGACACAGCAGTGTGAAAAGGTCAGGAAAGGCCACTGGTCCTTCCACCAGCAGCCACAATGCCCAGCAGAGGAAGGTTATTCCACCTCTAAGGGAACCACAAGCTACAAATTTCACAGATCAAAACCTTCTCAGAGACACCCAGCCAGCCCACAGCTTCTTTTGCTGCAATAATTACACATGGTCAAGGATTTGTGAGTTTAATAGTTTTAGGGAGCAATTCCCAAGGCACAGCTGTCAGCTTTCTGAAATCCCATCAAAGCTTGCAGGAATTCAGCAATTTTAGCAGAAAATCAATGCTCTTAGTTGGAACAATGCTGAGGCTTCTGACAGAAAAACTGAGATGCTTCAAACACCCAACAGTGGTGGAAAGAAAGATTTTTATAAAGGAATCAGACCTCACCTGTAGCTTCAGTTTTTCTGTATTGAACCTTTATGTTTCTCTATACAGAGAAAAATATTTAACCAAAAGAAACAAACCAAATTCCTGATTTTACAGCTTTCATGGGGTCTGATGGCTTTCAACTCAATTATTCAGTCCAGACTGTAACAGCAGTTAATCAGAAGTTAGCAAAGAGATTAGAAGGTGAAGGGATCATAGAGAGTTATTATGACAAAGAAATATCTTGGTTTTTGGGCACCATGTACATCATGGATTTGCATGGACAAAGAAAAGGGGAAAATAAAGAAAAGCAAAAAAAAATAAAAGGGGACAAATAAAGAAAAGCAAAAAAATAAAAGGGGGAAAACAAAGCAAAGCAGCTTTGCAAATATGTGCAACAGTAATAAAGGAGTTTAGGAGGACAAAGAAAAATGACTTAAGAAGAAATTGAGAATTTTTTTAAAAATCAGAAGCTCCCTGAAGTTAAATGTACCATTCCAGCTGTACCATTGGAGAAATTGCCAGAGCCTGGAGGGTAAAAAGTTCCAAGGATGATGAAGAGAGCATCAGCAGGATTATGAAATGCCATGGGCAGGTCAGGGAAAAGCAGGTGGGTACAGGGAAAGTGAACCAAACAGTCCCAACTGAGCCAAAAGGGAGCAGGGAATTTCATGATTCTCTTGGAAATATCACCCCATCAAAGCAGGAATTATTTCAATGCACATCATTGAGTGAATTGTGTAGTGCTTTGCACTATGAGGAGTTTGAATTTATTAATTGATTAATGAAACCTGTTTTTGTGCTTTCTCAGCTTTCTTCTGCTGTAACCCAGGGTGTGCTGCCCTATCCTGGGGCTCAGCAGAGTGTTTTTGAGAGGAAGATAATTAATAAATTAATCAATTAAACTAATCAATTAAGCCTGTACAAACTACAGGTACAAAATCAGATTCAAATCTGGTTACAGCTAACACTTTCCACAGCTGTGGAAGGCAGATTCTGCACCTCAGAGAAACCCTTGCCATGCGCCACCAAAATAAAATAAATAAAAGTGCTTGGGAAATGCCCCCTTAGACACACAAAATCCCCAGCATGAGATCTGAGGCCTGGTCATAGAGGAGCCCAAGTTGTGTAACTGTTTTTGGTATTTAGTTCAAGCAGCTTTTAAAAGCTTTACAAACAAGTTTAAAATAATTACAGGGTATTCATTAGTGCACTTATAGGGGCACAGATTCAGCCCAAGTGCAGGAAAGGAACCAAGCAAAAATAGTCTTTGCAAGCCTGATTTACCAGGCTGGTACAAGACAATCCTAACAGTTCAATTCTCACACATTTTATTGTCTCCCTGAGGGAAAACTGCAGAGGAACTCTCTCAAGGAGCACATAACTGTCCTTATAATAGTTTAAACAGGATTCCCAGCCATCCACAGCAATGAAGAAATGATGGCCCTGCTCTCAGAGCTCAGCAAGTCCCCCACTCCCTTCACCCTCAATCACACCACAGTGAGCACAACAGCACAGAAAAAAACACTTGTACACATTCAGATGAGCCCTAGAACATGGTTTCATACTCTCCACTTAGTGTCAGGCTGTCATTTTATAAATATACTTAGTTTTTAAAGAACAAACCCCAAGGCCACACTTGTAGGGAAAATAAGGCCTCTTAAAACCAGACTGCAACAAGTTTCTGTGGGGGTTGAGCTTGCTCTAAAAAGAGCCAAAAAACTGATCAGAACATTCTGGCCTGCAGACAAGAGCCAACTCTGCTTGATGGATGTTAATTTTAAAAATTCACAGGCCAAAAGCAACAGAATAACGTTTTCCCCCAGCTGCTGGGAGGTCCCATCCCATTCCAAGGTGGTTTAGAGGGAAGCACCTACTTGCTGTCTGTCCTTTTGTTGTAGATGAGGAAGTCAGACACGTCGTGCCACACCTCGCTGTCCTCGTACAGGTAGGTCATGGAGGACTGCAGGGAGGGCTGCAGAGTGTCCCTGTGGTACTCAAAGAGCCACAGGACTGTCCCCCACACCAGGGCAGCCAGCAGAGGGAAGGGATCCTGCCTGGGCTGGGGGATGTAGCCCTTCTGCACAGCCAGCCGGGACAGCCCGAACAGGATGCGGGACAGCAGGTACATGATGATCTGCAGAGGAGAAATGTGGGGAACCACAAAATCAGAGGGGTTGGGAAAGCTGCAAAAGGCCTCAGAGGCAGTAAAACTGTGATTAGAGCTAAGCAGCAGCCATGAGATTGGTCAGCAGAAAAAAATATTTAAACTGTAGAAAGGCAAGGACAAATAGAACAATGATCTGTGTATTAATGCTTGTCTAGAATAACTCCCTAAGCTACAGAAAAGTTTATTTAGTGAGATATTAGGAAGTTTGAAGCTTAATTATGGAGCTCTGTGCATTGTTTTAAGGCTTACAAGCAGGTATTGTATTTGAAATAAGCAGCATTGTTTAACCAAAGGTACCTGTGCTTATAGTGGTTGGATAGAACTACTGTCAGTGTGCTTTTGCTTTGTGTGATTACTCAAAACACTTATAAAGTGAGTTGTAACATTAAGTTCTGGGTCTGCTGCCTGGGATGTGAGCTGGTGGCACCTTCCCATTGTCATAACCATGTAATGAGACTGATGCTGGAAAATCAAACAGCTCAAGGCACGTTCCAGCAGTCCTGTCCTGTTTGTGATTTGTACAGAGACCCCGGCTGGTGACAGAGAAACCCAGGGAGCAGGGTGAGAACTGAGCACAGCCACTTCCAGGGCTTCACAAGTGACAATCCAGCCAGGAGGGACAGGAACAACTCCCCCACTTCAAACAGGCTGACATTGCCCCTGTCAACACTCTGCCAAAACTCTGTTTGTTCTCCTGCAAGGCCTGCTGCTCTGATTTGGCAATCACAGGCTGCATTTCCTGCAGCACTGCTGGGCAGTTGCACAACTTCTGTCTCTGCCCAGCTCATGGCACCTCAGATGGTGCTGACAGAACAGTCCTGCCAGGCAGGTGTGAGTCTGGGCACAGCCTAACACCAGGCCTGGCTTAAGTCGAGCACCTGGGATTAATCTGCAGCTCTGTGTTTTACTCCTTGCTTTGTGACTGTGTGTTAACAGCCAGCTTTAATCAAACACCCTCTGAGCAGCTTCCATCAGTTTAACCAGTTTAGGGGTGAGTTTAGCTGTCAGATTAACCAGTTTAGTTGTCAGTTTAACCATTTTAGTTATTATTTTAGTTGTCAGTCTAGCCAGTTTAGTTGCCAGTTTAACCAGCTTAGTGGCCGGCTTAGCTGTCAGATTAACCAGTTTAGTTGTCATTTTAGTTATCAGTTTGGCCAGTTTAGCTGTCATATTAACCAGTTTAGCTGTCAGTTTAGCCAGTTTAGTTGTCACTTTTAGCCAGTCTAGTGGTCAGTTTAGTTGTTAGTTTAGCCAGTTTAGTTGCCAGTTTGGCCACTTTAATTGCTAGTTTGGCCAGTTTATCTGTGAGATTAATCAGTTTAGTGGTCAGTTTAGTTCCCAGTTTAACCAGTTTAGCTCCCAGTTTAACCAGTTTAGCTCAGTCCAGCTCTATCTGACCAAGTCCTGCACTCACAACACTTCAGGTGAGGAGTTTAACCCTGTGATGGCCACACCAGGAGCACACAGTAGTGAGCACAGGTGACAGGTGGGACAACCCCACAGCTCTGACTGCCTTCCTACAAACCCAGTGCAGCCCTGGAGGCAAACCTGGGCTTCCAGCACCCACACTACTCATGGAAACACACAGCCACACCTGGGACTTGAATGCAGAGCAGTCAAAACTGCAATTTGTGCAGAGAAAATGATAAAAGAGCAATGCTCTGGTCAGACCTACCAAAAACAGGAGCCCTCACCCAATTCCTGGCACACCTCTTGTTTTTCCTGGCCACAGAAACTTTCAGCAAGTGCCTTTACCTGGCTGTTGATAGGGTTGTTGTCACCAAACACCAGCCAGCCCCCAATGCAGGCTGCAAGGAAGGAATGGAATGGGATTTTTTTCCCCTGCAGCCGGGACTGGGCTGCCAGGAGTCCCTTGTAGGTGAACACAAAATAAGCCAGGTTCCGGGAGTGGGCGTACGTGGCCTGGGCAATGGACTTCAGCTTCTCCCTGAAACTGAGGCAAAGAGACAATTACAGGAGAGAAAAGGCAAAATCCTGCACTCACCCAGCCTGGGCACTGCACTCCCCACCTACACTGATGGTTTGGGCACCCCAGGAATGTTTTGGGAATGAGGAGAAATTCCCTGATCAGAGCACAGCCTTGCCCAGACTGTGGACTGGGTTTCATTTTCCCTCTATTCACACAGCCCTTTAAAAACTTTTTTATTGCTAAATACAAACTTTTTTATTGCTAAATACAAACTTCAGGCACTCAGGGAAAGGCACAACATGCACTGCTACAGCCTAGGTTCCCATATTTCAACACAGCACAGAACATTGCTTTTGGCATCTGTTAATTCCCCCTCTATTCTCATCAACCATTGCATGAGTGATTAAATCCCTCATTTGTACATATTTGTGTGTATTTTATATCAGTACAAGGCTCAACCACGGCTCACACGCTTTTCTGCTTTTTAAACCTTCTACAAACATGGAAAACAAACAGTTGTGATGAAAACATTCAAAGCAGCAACACAAAACCACAGATTTAGAGTTTGTACCTTCCACTCTTGAACAGGAAAGTCATCACCAGGGCGTGTGGGGCACGGATTTTGGCTCCATAACTGTAAAGGTCGACAAATATTTGACAAAGTTCGTTTTATACTACGAAATTATTGTATTTCTAGTCTACTAACAGACAAAAAAAGGTTGCTTAGCCAAATATCTATTACTTTTAAGCCAGCCCAGCAGCAGCAGCACAGCAAGCCGGGAGGAGCCGAGCGGGAGAGAGAAAAGCACAGGCACCTCAGCGAGCCAGGCTCGAAGGGGACCCTCAACCCTCAGGCCCGAAGGGGATCCCAAACCCAGCCCAGGCCACCCCAACTGCGGCTGAGGGAGGCGGGATCGCCTCACCCTCACAGCACCCCCGCCACAGCACCCCGGGAGGGATGGGGACCCCGCGGCCGGGCCCGGCACTCACACGGCGCCGTTTCGGAAGCCTTTGATGACGGCGAGCGCGGCGTGGTAGCGGCGCTGCTGCAGGAGCGCGTTGGCGGCGCGGAGCAGAGCGCGAAGCGAATCCTCCCCACCCGCCATGGCCCCGCCGGCCATGGCGCCCCGCCGCACGCCGCTTCCGGGGGTGCCGCCCCGCCCGCCTCTCCCATAGGCCCGCGATGCTGTCAATCACTGCTTTTGACCAATAAGCGGCGCCACCTCACTCTAGCATTGCTGCGGACAGCCTATCCTGCAGCCAATGGGCGCCGAGAGAGGCGTCCCGCCCACCCGCTCCGTGAGGGCGGCGGGCGCCGCTGTGAGCCCGGCCCGGCACAGCCCGGTCATGGGCCGGGGGCTGTGGCCGCCGCGGCCGCGCCGGGAGCCCGAACGGGGCAGGGGCGGCCACCGGGCAGTCCCTGCCCGGTCTGCGCGGGCTGTCGCAGTGCCGCTCCACCGCGCCCCGAGTTGAACACGACCCCCCCCCGCCCCCGGGGCCTCCCCCGCCTCTCCCGCGCTGTGGGCCCGTAGCGGGCGGCGGGCGCCCCCTGGCGGCGCCGCTGCCGCCGCCGCTCCAAGATGGCGCAGGCGATCTTCGAGGCGCTGGAAGGTAACGGGGCCAGACCGCGGCCGCGCCGGGACCTCCCTTGTCGCGGCCACAGCCGGGGTGCGCGACCCCCGCTCCCCCGAGCTCCCTCTGTCCAGCGCCGCCGCCGCGCGGGTCCGGGGGCCGCGGTGGGGCCGCCCCGTGAGGCCCGGCCCGGCGCGGCGTGTGGCGCTCCCGGGAGCCCCGCGCTGCTCCCGCGCTGCTGCTCCGCTGCCCGCACCGCAGGCACGGCTGCAGCCCCGCCGGCAGCCCCCGCTACAGCTCGGGGCTCCATGCGGCGCCACTGTCACCTCCCGTCCCCCGGCCCTGTGCCACCTCCCGCCTGTGCGCCGCGGCATCCCCGAGCAGTGCCCTGCGCACCGGGCAGCCCTCGTTAACCACGGGCCCTGTGCTCGGTGCACCGCGTTCCTACCCCTGTGCCAGGGCCGACAGCCCAAGGCATCCCATGCCTTCCCTGCCCTGTGCCTGCTGCTCTGGGGCATCGCATCCCTACCCTGTGCCAGTGCCCGACGGCCCCAGGCATTCTGTGCTTTCCTCGTCCTGTGCCTGCTGCTCTAGGGCACCGCATCCCCACCCTGTCCCTGTGCGTGCTGCTCCTGGACGCTCCATCCCTATCCTGTGCATGCTGCTCCTGGATATTCCATCCCCATGGTGCTCCTGGACACTCCATCCCCATCCTGCCCCTGCTGCTCCTGGACGCTCCATCCCCATCCTGTGCGTGCTGCTCCTGGATATTCCATCCCCATCCTGCCCCTGGTGCTCCAGCCTCTCTCACTCCCTCCCTGCTCCTGTGCCCACCGGAGCATTCCCATCACCGCTGTCTGTGTGCCCAGGAAGCGGCACCACCGATGCCCAGGGCACTGTCACCACCCCTGCACCTCCTGTGTCCCTGCATGCTGGGGTCCCCCATCCTCCCCATGCCCCAGGGCTCACTCTGCCCGTCCCACTGCTGTGCCAGGCTCTGTGCCAGCCCCTGGGATGGTGCCTGGGTGGGCGCTGGCCCTTGCATGTGTGTTTTGAGGGGTGTGCTCTGGGCACAGCTGGGCAGTGCCCGTTGTGTGGGTGAACAGGTTGTGCTCAGGTACATCTCACTTTAGTGTTGGGATACTGTTACAGCCAGGTGCCATCCAAGGATGAGGTGCTGAGCTGTGGCGCTCTGACATGGGCTAGGGACTACTTTCTTTGGAGAGAAACTACTTCATAGGTATTAATTTCCTAAATTGGATTACAGTTTTATTTTCCTTTCCATGACACCACTGCCTGGAAGGTGTGACATTGGATTGTTACTGTGCTTTTGAATATCACCTGTGACCACAGCAGCAGAGAATAAATATTTTTTTCTCTATTTTGTCAGGTTACTTGGTGCATTTGCCAGCACCCCCGTGTAGAAACAGGTCCCTATTTCCTCTCTGCAATCAGCTCCTCATTGTGTTCCTTTCCCTGCAGCATTCAGGACAGCAAAGCTTTTTAGCAAATTGAAAAAGAGTGGGGGTTTTTCAAGCCCGCAGCAATTGGCAGCTTTTAGTGCCTGAGCTTGTTTGTTTTGTCTTGTTGATTGGATTACACGTCGATGGTGGCTTGGCATTCTTAGAGCAGCCTGGTGTCAGGGTGCTGCAGGGCACAGGTGCATTGTCACCTGTCACTAAAGCACCTGGTGCTCCTGTCAGAAAAAAAGGCTTTATCACAGGGACAAATTAGCACCTGGGTGACATGGACAGCCCTGCTTCATCTCCAGCTGAGGGAAATTTGAAAGGGAAGGAAAAAAGGGCAGATCAGTAGTCCTGTGCTTTTATCTTGGCTTCCCCAAATCACTTCGGTTTTATCAGGCTCTGGGCACCTCGGGGCTGGGATTTTTCACTTCCATGGCTGAAGAGCATCCTGCAGGCAGGGCAGGGTTGATCCAGAGCTTTCTCCTGGGGTCTGTGCATGAAGAAGATCCTGCAGGACAGGATCCATCCAGAGCTTTCTCCTGGGCTCTGTGCATGGCTGTACATGGCATCCCTGTAACCAAGTACCTGCCAGCCTGGCTTCTTGGGTTCTTATCCATCTCCTCAGGGGTTTCCCCCTGGGAAGTGTGGTGCTGTGCAGTTCCTCAGTGAAGTGCAGGGACTCTGATTGCCAAATAAATATTTCTGTTGTCCTGGGCCATTTCTCTCCATCGAGAGGCTGAGTGCAACCCTGCCAATGTTGCTGCATCATTGTGTTCAGGTCTGGCCTCTCCAGAAGCTTCTTCCTCCTCGTGGCATCAAGGCAATTGTTTGACTTTTTTCCTTGCAAGATCTGACTCTGTGCCAGAAGGAAACCCACTTGCCCAGTGCCAGGCATACCAAGAGTGCACTGTTTGTGCAGTTGTAATTATCCCCATATTACACCTGAATTTTTGGTCCTTCTTTTTCTCCTAGTTTATTTTTGCTGGAGAAGCTGCTGCATGTCCCTGTGTGCTTTAAGGCTGCAGTGCTCCCTTTGCAGTTGCCCAGAGGTTCTTTGTGCAGGAGGTGAATTTTGAGCAGGGCTCTGGCTGGAGTGAGGAACCCTCCCAGCACTGTTCTGCCAGCAGGGCTGAGCTGCAGGGCTGCCTCCAGCTCTCCCTGCAAGCCAGGGCTTGCTGAACTGGACCTGCAGCTTTGCTGTGCCTGTGATCTGTGTGAAAGGCTGCCCACAGATGGCATGGTGGGAATTTGATGGGAGTGTGGGATGTGCTGGGTTCTGCTGCCTCCCAGCTGCCTGTGCCCTTGGAGGGTGGTGCTGTGCTCTCTGCCAGGGACACGAGCAGGGGTTGCAGCATCTCCTCAGTGGAAGGATGGAAAAGTGTTCACAGAATCTTAATGTGACATGCAGGAGAAATGAGTAGTTAGGGTATCTTTAAAAGGCTCTAGTTTATTTGGGTACTCCCCACCATGAAGGCAACATTCCAGTTGTTCAGGAGAAATTTTAGGAGTGGAGCTTGGGGTGGTGGGTGCTTCTGCTGTGCTGGTCCCTTTTGCTGTGATCTGCTGTGGTGCTTCACTGTCTTTCCTTCTGCTGTCTGCTCTGAGCAACCTCCCCTCATCCCAGCACAGTCCTCACCTCACTGCTTAGGAGTGATCAGACCCACTGATTTTCCTTTCTGAGTTCAGTGCTTTGCACTTTTGTTTTGCAAAGATCTGGAAGTGAAAAACCACCTAAGAACCCCCCAGCTTTCTTCTCTCCCTTAATCCACAAGATCTAACATACAACCTTGCTGTTCCATTTGCTTCCTTTGTGAGTTCTGGGTCATAAAAGGGTGATAGGAAGGAGTGGCAAAAATCACGCCTTTTTCTCTTTATCTCCCAAAATCAGGCTGTCCTTTGTGTCTTTACATCCAATTTCTAAATAGAGTGTGTCATGCTTAATCCACAATCCCAGGTTTTCTCCCTAGATGAGCAGTCCCAATCTTCTGAATTTATCTGGAATATTTTAAAACCTTTTAGCTGTAGTGAAAAATGTTTGTGCTAAAGCAAGTAAGCTGATTCTAACAACAGATCTGAGTGTGTGTGTGTGCCCTGTGTCTGACATTTGTGCCACCTCTGCTGGGAGAGCTGCTGCACACAAGGATTTTGTGTGCCCTGAGCTCGGTGTCTGTGCTGCATCCCCAGGCAGTTCCAGCCAGGCCCCTGCCCTGTGACATCCCCACACTCCTGTGACATTCTCAGCTCTTCTCATACCCAGGGTTGTGAGCATCCTTCCTTTCTGCAGCAGGTGCTGAAACCAAATCCCCTTTTGGCTTTCCCTGCCCTTCTTCCCTTCTCTTTTGCACCAAAGCAGTTCTGAAGACAGGTGGGGGTGTTGTTGTGTGGGAGTTGGTGCTGTTGGAGGGTGACAAGGTGACAGTGGCTCAGGGGGGAGGGAGCAGCAGCTGGAGGCTGTCCCAGTGCCCAGACACCCCAGTGTGGCTGTGTTCAGCTCACCATCCATGCTTGTGTCTCCTTTCAGGGATGGATAACCAGACAGTGCTGGCTGTGCAGTCCTTGCTGGATGGCCAAGGAGGTGTCACGGACCCGTCTGCTGCCAATGTCAACTCCTCTGCAGCCATCCAGCCCATGGGTGAGTCCTGCTGGCCCTGGGACACAGCACAGGGCAGGGGGGCTGCACAGCTCCCCTGCACAGCTGGCACAACAGCTGGGTGTGCAGGGTACTGCTGTGAGTGTTGTGAGCCCTCAGCAGGAGCAGACTGAGCAGGAGGAAGGGACAAGAGCCCAAGCAAGCAGTGATGTCTTTGGAGACAGTCATGGCAACAGACTTGACCATGAGCTTCCAATAAAGATACAAAGGGAGGGAGAAGCCGCTGTGCCCACATCTAGTGCCTGTTACTGTTCATGTTTTTTATTTAATACTCACTCCTTCTCCTCTAGAGATGCTCCATTCCTGCAACATCTCTGTGTTAATGAATATGGGAACTGGTCATTGCTGTGCATGTGGACCCTCACAGTGCTGCACTAGAAGGTGTTGGGTGGATGGGGAGTTACCCCCAAGGAGTTACAGTCTGTGTCCCCAA